GTGAATTATTTTGAAAATAAGTTTGTCAACAAAAAAATTAAAAAAATTAAAAGCATATTTGTAAGAAAAAAAATATGTTACTGACTTGTAGTATGAACCTGCTGTGTATAATCCGCTGTAGAGAAGAGTGAAATATTAATATTTTTTGTTTTTTTAATTTTTAACTACCTCGTGTAGTTTGAAATAAAAAAATTACTCAAATCATCAGCCAAAACATTTACTAATATAAATGACATTAGAACACTGAACATTTTCATTTTCATCTGCAAATAGTAATAAACATAAAAGCAATTTATTTTAGTCGCAGTCGCCTTCCGAGCGAAGTTGAGTAGGTTTTTGTAAATTTTTATTTTATGTGGATAATTTTCGTATGTATCCATTGTCTTAAGTTTTATATAAACACCGTTGCGCTGTCATAACGATACTGACAACCGCTCCGAAGGTGGATTCTGTAATGACTTTGCAAAAATCTGAAGACACACAATTATCCATAAATTATCCACAAAACGATACAACCCATTAAAGCTTTAACATACTATTCATCATTTTATATGATTTTCGGAATGAATATCGATAAAAAAAACTAAGTGGAGTTAAAAAAATATTGTACCTACCTGATGAGAACTTAGTTAAAGGGAACTTGTCCCTTCTAGCCCCGCCTTATTTTTGCCATTGTGTATTTTGCATAATATAATTAGCAGTGTGCCTCTGTTGATTTATTTACATTTAATGGTTGATTGTTCTACTTACTTTAACGATGGAGACGGCACAACTTGTAAAGATGAGTTGTATCAAATAACTGTTTTGAAGTGACTTTCTTGTGTCTTGTTTACGGCCATGCTAATAGTATATCGACCGAAACAGTAAAACCGACATATTATATTTTTCAGTGTACCTCTGTTGATTTATTTACACAACAGTTTTTTTTCAAGATGACGGCATATCTATTGTACCTATTTGTTACACTGACGCGTAGTTAAGAACCGTTGGAGTTTTTTTTCAGCTATTGGTTTTACTATCTCCCATAACACTAATTTGGAACAGAAAATATTATACAAATTATTTTTGGGTCAAAACGCCAAATACGAATGAACGTTTGGTGCACCCCCATGTTTGGTTTTGCAAAGTCATTGTTTTTAAGGCATTCGCAAGGTACATGTTATATTCAAAGTTTATTACATGTTTTATTAAAAACATAGCCACGAGCCGCCACTGAGATCAATGACCTTAGCTAAATACGTTTGGAAATTCACATTATAAAATTGAACACGAAAAAGATACATTCAACGCTCACCGTCGGTGTATTAAATTCAAGGTAAACATAGGTGTTGAAGTATTGAAAAATAAAAATTGTTGTAGAACTAACATGAGCTGTTGTACGACGCCGTTCGCTGTCAGTACCTACTGTAAACGTCAGAAAGACACCTACTCTAGTATAGCGTTCAACTCTCCTGGTGTTTCACTTTAAAACTTTCAATCCGAAAATTCGTTATTTCGTTTGGCGTTTTAATAGTTTTTTTCAAGTTACTTTATTCAAGATTTGTTTTTTTTTTTTAGTATGAAGTTTAATAGCATAATTTTGTTTCCAACAGCCGTACTGTTCATCATTCTAGCAGTGTCTACAAGTATATAAAAAACAATTAGTATACAAATATTATAATAATAATTCAAAAAAGTTAAACCAAGTGTCAAGTTATGATGTCTTGATTTTTTAGTAACCTGAAATTTTTTATAGAAAAATAATTTCAATTTAAAACTTTTCATTTATTTATTAATTTATTTATATTATACAAATCTATTTTCTATGTTTCAGGTGTTAAAGGAGGTAAGTTCACACATTAAATTGTTCTATTTTTATTCGCTGATTTGATTTCAATGACGCTTTTCGATAAAGATAAGTTGGATGATATATCAGCTTTTGTGTTTGACAAAGGATAAGTATAATAGCAGTTTTAAACTATTTCATTTACCTTTATAATAATATTTTAATAGACAAGTGTTAACCCATATTAGAGCGAGTAGAAAACGACAAATTTAGCAATGTTTGTTATTTAAAAAAAAAAAATAGATTTCGACCTGTTTTAAAATTTTATCATAAAATCAAAAACTTAAATCAAATATTTTCGTCTAATAACGGGAATTGGCCGAGATTTATTACTATTTTTTTTTAATAAAGAATTTCTTTTTTCAAAATCTGAAAAAAAAAATTGTAATTTGTTTTCTTATTAAAAAAAAATAAAATATGTCTTGGTAAATTTTGATTTTTTGCATATTTTAGGAGTAGAAAATGAAAAATGTTATTCTTAAGAAATATTTTTCCCAAAATGTGCGAAAAATCAAAATTTACCAAGACATATTTTTTTTTTTAATAAAACAACTGTAAAACTTTTTTTTTCAGATTTTCAAAAAATTGTCTTTATAAAAAAAAATAGAAATAAATCTCGGCCCACTCCCGTTAATAGACGAAAAGATTTTATTTAAGTCTCTGGGCTTATGATAAAAACTTCAAACAATTTTTTTTTTTTTTTTTTTTATTATTTCCCTCGGCAGCAAAGGCCATTGGGTTACATTAAATTATTACATTTGGGTTACATTAAATTATTACATATTGGGTTACATTGTGCAGAAACAGTACACCCTCATAGACAACTGCATAATTTGGTCTTGGTCATAAAACTAACAAGCCTGTTAATGGCCCCGGGTTGAGGACCGAGGGTTTCTGACAGATCCTCCGATATTTCGTTATCACTTCGTTGGGTCTGATATTTTGTGCACTCCGTAAGTATGTGTTTCACCGTTAGCCGAACTCCACATGCTTCGCAGATAGGGGATTCAGACTTTGACATTAAGAAGTCGTGTGTCAATCGAGTGTGTCCAATTCTCATTCTGGTAATGAGGACTTGATTCTTTCTAGATAAGTTGGTCGGTTGGGTCCATTTGTAAGTGTGATTTTTGATTTCACTGAGTTTTGTATGTAAGGACCTCCATTGCAGATTCCATTCTTGATAATATGTCGATTTGATATGCAATTTTAGGTCGCTGTGAGAAAGAATGTTGAGAGTTCCCGCCGATTGTGATGATATTGCTTCTTTTGCTGCAATATCAGCTTTTTCATTGCCAGCTATGTTACAGTGACCTGGGATCCACATGATTTGAATTAAAAACCCTTGTTTTTGGAGTTTGTACATTAGGTTAAGAATCAAAGTGTTTATGTCTGAAGGATTATAAACGATGTTCAGGTTTTCCACGACACTGAGGGAGTCACTGAAGATGGTGGACTTCCTTATGTTATTTTCTTCAATGATCCGTATTGCTTGTAATATTGCGATAGCTTCTGCCGTGTAGATAGATGTGAAGTTAGCTAGTCTAAAAAGATATTTTCTTTCGTTCCAAATGACCGAAATACCGACACCACTTTCGTTTTTGGATGCGTCCGTATAAATGTTTTCTGATTCATCTAGGTGACATGTTTGTAGTAAAAATGACTGTACCTTTTTGGATCTGTACACTTTTTTTTGTAAGTTGTTAAATCTGTATTAATGTTTAAATCTGATTTCCATGGAGGGATATCGGTAGTTTCAGGTTTGATAATGTGTGCGAAAGGGATGCTTTCATTATGTGTACTTTTACAGAGCAGGATTTTTTGTTGATGATTATCTAGCAAAGAGGGCGTTCTTGCTAGTCTGCTTGCTAATAATAATGATGACATCTTCCTATGTATTGTTAATGGTGGAATGTTACCTAAGTTGTGGATGCTTGCTACTGGGCTAGAACGAAAAGCACCAATTGCCATTCGTATGCCGGTGTTGTGGATTGAGTCTATTTTTTTAAGAATTGACTGTGCTGCATTAGACCAGAGAAATGAACCATAATCAAGTTTGGAAAGTATCAAGGATTTGTATATCTTAATTAGGGTTGCAGTGTTTGCTCCCCATGAAGTGTGAGAAAGTATTTTCATTATATTTAGTCGTGACAGTGTACTGCTTCTAAGATAATTTATATGTGCGGCCCAAGATGTTTTTTGGTAAAAAAATACCCCGAGGATCTTGACGACTTTATAGTTGACTATTTGCTGGCCATCGAGTTTGACATTTAGTTCAGATGGTTTTCAATTTTTTTTGAAAATGATTGCTTGTGATTTAGACGGAGAAAAAGAAAAACCGGAGGTTTTCGTCCATTTTATGAGATGGTTAAGCGCTTCTTGGAGGTGGTATTGGATTGTTGATACTTTTTTGCTTCGGCAAAAAATGTTGAAGTCGTCGGCATACAGGGTGGAATGAACAGGTGGCAGAATAGTATCGACTATGTTATTTATAGCTATTAAAAATAAGGTGACAGATAGGACGGAACCTTAGGGTACTCCGTTTACTTGGATAAGCTTATCAGATAGGATGTTACCAATACGTACTTGGAATGTTCTTGTTTTAAGGAAGTTACATATGTAATTCATTAAATTACCAGAGCTTAATAAGTGATTTAGTTTATGGATGATATGTGGGCGCCATGTGCTATCGTATGCCTTGGATATATCTAGACATATCATGCCTACTGATTGCTTTCCTTCGAAGGCACTTTGTATTTCGGCGTGGATTTTGGAAAGGCAATGGTGTGTGCTTCTATATTTTCTAAAACCATATTGATGTGCTGTGAGGTAGTTTATTTTGTTTAAGTACCATGTTAGTCTGCTATTAATTATTTTTTCAAGTAACTTTCCCATAGTATTTAGGAGGGATATTGGACGGTAACCTTCCGGTTTAAATTTATCTTTGCCCGGTTTGCTTAGAGGGATGATTATGCTGTGGCGCCATGCGCTGGGAAATGAATTGCTTTTCCAAATGTAATTAAAGATTTCTAATAGATATTGTGTAGCGTTAGAGGGGAAGTTGTGTATAAATATGAAGGGGATATCATCTGGTCCTGGGCTTTTGCTCTTGCAATTTTTTAGGGCATTGTAGTATTCGTTCATTAATCTCACAAATAGTAAGGAAAATTTAATTATCATGGGGGATTGGAATGCGATTGTGGGTGAAAATACAGACGGCAGAGAAGTTGGTAAATACGGACTCGGAACAAGGAATGAAAGAGGTGACCGTCTTGTCGAATTCTGCAGACAACATGATTTAGTTATAACCAATACTTTATTCATGAATCATAAAAGAAGACGCTATACGTATAAAATGCCAGGTGATATTAACAGATACCAATTAGACTACATCATGGTAAAGAATAGGTACAAAAACCAGATCAAATCGAGTAAATCCTACCCAGGAGCTGATATTGACAGTGACCACAACCTGGTAATGATCAAGTCCATATTGAAATTCAAGAAGTTAGAAAAACCAAAAAATAAAGGACATAAATGGAATTTGTGTCAACTAAAGCAACCAGAAATAAGAAAACTGTTCGAAAAGAAATGCAAAGAAAAACTTGAAACCAAAAGTAAGCCGAGGATAGATGATTGTAATAATATAGAGCATGGATGGCGTCGCATAAAAGAATCTATTGTCCAGTCTGCAGAAGAAATATTAACTAGGGAAAAACCAGCACCGAAACGCGAATGGATAACAATGGAAATAGTTCAAGATATAGAAAGAAGAAGATTGCTTAAAAACAAAACAGATGAAGAAAGTAAAAGACAATATAAGACGTTAAGAAATAAAATAAACCGTGAAGCAAAAAAAGCCAAAGAGATGTGGATTGAAAAGAATTGTGAAGAAATAGACAATATGATGAAATACAATCAACAGGATAAGGCATATAAACTCATTAAACGATACTTCAATGAAAAAAAGTCACAATGCACACACGTAAAGGATAAAGAGGGAAATTTACTTATAGATGAAATAGCGATAGCGAATAGATGGAAAGAATACGTAGAAGAACTATATGGAGAAGAAATAAACACCGACTTACTCGTTGAAACCCCAACCGACGGCGACTTTGATTCAAATGCAGATACAAGGATTCTAAAATCAGAGTTTGAAGACGCACTTCAAACAATGAAGAAAAATAAAGCACCAGGCCCAGACGAATTAAACACAGAACTCCTACAGCAGACAGGGGATGAAATAAAGAACGCTCTGTACGAACTGTTATGTCAAATATACGAGACTGGGAAAATTCCGAGAGATTTTGGATGTAGTAGATTAGTTATCCTACCAAAAAAACCTAGAGCCAACCAGTGCGAAAATTTTAGGACCTTAAGCTTGATATCGCATGCGGCTAAATTACTAGCAATAATTGTAAGTAAAAGGATAAGTAAGAGGATAGAAGCTAGATTAGCAAACGATCAATATGGTTTCCGGAAGAACAAAGGAACCAGGGAGGCTATTTTAGGTCTGAGAGTAATAATTGAAAAGCAAATTGAGAGACAAAAAATCACTTATATGGCTTTTGTAGACCTAGAAAAAGCATTTGATAGCTTAAAATGGACAAGTCTCTTTAAAATTTTGGAAGAAACAGAGATAGATTTTAAAGACAGACGTATTCTCTATAAAATGTATAAAGAACAAGAAACCATTATTAATATTAATACAACAACAGTGACTGCCAGAATCCAAAAAGGTGTGAGACAAGGGTGCCCACTTTCACCTGCATTGTTCAATGTATTTATTGAAAAAGCAATAAATGTCATAAAGCTTTGGTTAGAACAAAAAGGAATTGGAGTAAAAATAGGAGGGGTACTAATAACAATGCTTCGCTTCGCTGATGATATAGTCGTTCTTGCAACATCTGAGGAAGACTTACAAGCAGCGTTAAATGTAATGAATATTACGTTCAAAGAATATAGTCTGAAAATAAATGCAGCCAAGACCAAAGCCCTAGTATGCTACAAGAAAAACATACCATCTATAAATATAACATTAGAAAACAAAGAAATTATCCAAGTAGACTATTTCAAATACTTAGGCAGCATTATAACAGACGACGGGAAATCAACCAAGGAAATTAGAAGCAGGATAGGTCAAGCAAAGAATACATTCCTTAAAAAGAAAAAAATACTAACATCAAAAAATATGAACATAGTAACGAAGAAACGGCTCATAAAAACATACGTCTGGAGTGTGGCATTATACGGAAGTGAGACCTGGACAATTAATAAGAAAGAAAAAGATATGTTAGAAGCTCTGGAGATGTGGTGTTGGAGAAAGATGCAGAGAATAAGCTGGACTGATAGAAGATCAAATGAAGACATCCTGAGGACAATAGATGAAAAACGAACATTTATAGACATTATAAAGAGAAGGAGATGGCAGATGATAGGACACACGTTGAGACATGGAGATGAATTGCATAGTTTAATAATTGAAGGAATGATAGAGGGTACAAGATCAAGAGGAAGACCTAGGACGAGATACATTAGCCAAATAATGCAGGATGGAGGAGTCACTTCCTACAGGGAACTTAAGAATATGGCAAATGATAGAGAAAAATGGAGAAGCCATTTATTGTAAAACATTTGTTAAAAACCAATCTTCGGATTGAAAAACAAAAAAAAAAAGTATTCGTTCAGGGTAATAGGACTGTTTAGATAAGTTTGATATTCTGCGTTAATGTTTATGGGTGAAACAGGTGGGGATGCGTCTATTGTTTTGTTGTTTTTTAGAAATTCTGGATTGTAGTTGTTGTTACTAGTGTTTTCTTCAAAGTATTTGGCTAATTCGTTTGCAATAATTGTTGGATCGGTAGTTAAATTAGTGTCGTCAGAAAGGAATATATTTGTGTTTATTTTTTTTCCTTGAAGGGAGCGTATTTTATTCCACATAAAATGGCTGTCGATTTCTGAACCTAGGTCGGAGGTGAAATTAGACCAGCTATCGGCTTTACTTATTTTAACTAGGAACCTTGTTTTAGCTCTAAGTTTTTTTAATTGTATGTAGTCTGTAGTTGTTTTAGAGTTTTGGAATTGTTTGAGTGCTCTGTTTTTATCTTTAATACATTTTTTAATCTCTTGGTTCCACCAAGGGACTTTTTGTTTGTGGGATGAAATGGCTGTTCTTCCTATAGTACGTTCAGCGGTCTGTATGATTATATCACTAAACTTAGAAACAATTACATTTATGTCACTCAAATTTAGAAAGTGTTTTATTTCATTAACTTCTTTTTCTAGAGAACTTGGAAAATCATTCCAAATAGGATTTTTTAGATTCCATCTGTTATATTTACGGTCGGAAATTACTTTTTGTGAAGCTAATACAATTTTGATAGGGATGTGGTCGTTATTATAGAGTTCAGGTAGTACTTGCCAGGTGATACTTTGTGATAATGTCGGAGATGAAAAAGATAGATCTATGGCAGAGAATTGTCCGTTTGAAGGGTTTAATCGAGTGGGATCACCGTTGTTGAGTAATATGATATTGTCCAGATGAAGAAGCTTTTCTATTGTGCTTCCTCTATCGGTGTTATTTGAGCCCCAGATGGTGTTGTGACTATTGAAATCTCCAAGGAAAATGAAGGGTGAAGGTAATTGTTTTATGATGTTTTCAATATCTAGATTGTTGAATTGAGTCTGGTTGGGGAGATATATATTACAGAGTGTGATTTTTGTCTCCAAAGTGATAGTAACGGCGATTGCCTCCAAGTTCGTGTGTAATGTAATTTCTTCGCGCGGGACAGATGAGTTGACCAATATAGCAACTCCACCACTAGCTCTTAAGTATTCAGTGCGATTTTTCTTGAATAATGAGAAACATTTAAGTGAAGGTTGATGTTAGTCTTTTAAGTTAGTTTCCTGAAGGCATATGGCTATAGGGTTGTGTTCTTGAATTATAATTTTAAGGTCATCTATTTTTTTGTAAAAACTGTTTATATTCCACTGAATAATATTTAAGGAGTTGTTGAGTTGTGTGTTAATCATTAATATGTAAATATGTAGTTATAAGTAATTATTAAAATAAACTGTATGTTTCTTTAGAGTAAACTAGGAGTTTTGTGGTATCATTTGAAACAGGATGTTGGCAAGCTTTGTAATTTTTGTTTTGATTTTTCTATCCAATAATGTTGGGCGAATGATGTCAACTGTTTTGGAGAGTTTTTGTACATCAGTGCCTGTTTGTTTACAAATATCTTGAATGTGTATGTTTTTGTCTTGTGAGTTTTCGATAATGTACTTAAGTTGATTGTAGTTAGCGTATGTTTCGTCGAGATTGGATATGACCTCCTGTGCCGGGGCTAATAGGCTGTCCAGATTGTCAATAATTCTAGTAGACGAGTTTGATCGGGACCGTACTTTAGCTTTTTTTGGTGTGTGTTTTGAATCTTTTTCGGCTGGGATTTCATCAGATATTAAGATTGTTGTTTTTTTGAGCTGAGTGGGTGATGAAGAAGTGTTAGAGGATGGGGGGGTCTTTTAAGAGCTTCGGTTTGTTCTTTAGGTTTAAAATCTGATGTCACTGGTTGGTGGGTTATGTTCGTGTGTTTGGTCGTATTTTCATTGATGTTTATGATATTTTGTGTTTTATCAGTACTTGTACTTATATTTTCAGTGAATATAGGTGATGTTGGGGGATTGATGTTACCGTAAGATGAGGTGTCCATTGAGATATCTGTTGTGTTTTTACATGAGGAAGAAAAATGCCCGATTTGTTTGCAGAGAAAACAGACAACTTTATCGTCTGTAATAAATATGCGAAAAGTAGTATTTTCATAATCTACTGTAATGGAATTTGGAAGTTTGTGAACATCATCTGGGTTTATGAAAAGTTGTCTGCGGAAACTTAAAATATGGGCAAACTCATCTGTAGGGAAACCGGCTTTTAAATAAGACACAGTTGATGTTGTTCTAATGCCAAGATTCTTCAAACAATTAAAACGGGTCGAAATCGATTTTTTTTTTTAACAACTTTAAAAACCTCTATTTTTGAGCCAAAAATTAGTGATGAAAATTTCAAACAAATGAAGTTTAACATTAGACTAAAAGAAGTTAAAAAACAAAATTGAGGAGGTCAGGCCGATGACAGCTTAGTTTGCCTCAGAATGCCCCATATATATAATTTATAAATATTGCATTGGGATAAAAAAATATATATATTTAAGTCATTTTTTTCGATATTTCAGGGGTACCGGATGAACTTGGTAAGTCTTCGAGACTTTAATATAACTTATATAATTGATTAAAGTGAAATTCAGTATATATTCGTATTAAACGGGTTTCAAATGACTGTAAGTTAAACTATCTGTACAATTATTTTTTGATAAAGCTTAAAAAGTGTATAAATTGCTATAAATGCATTAAATTATTGAATATAAGAATAACTTCACCATGTATATTGGCAATTATATACAATTAGTTAAGAACCAACTAAAGGTTAGGTAAAAGTATATATGCATTTTTTTTTAAATCATAACTTAAAAAACCTCTATTTTTGGGGCAAAAATTAGTGATAAAAATTTCAAATAAATAAAATTTAATATTAGACTAAAAAATGTAAAAAAAAAAATTTGAGGAGGTCAGGCCAATGACAGCTTAGTTTGCCTCAGAATGCCCCATATATATAATTTATAAATATTGCATTGGGATTAAGAATATATATATATATATATATATTTAAGTAATTTTTTTTTGGTATTTCAGAGATACCGGAAAAACCTGGTAAGTCTTCGATACTTTGATATAAGTTATATAAGCTATAAAAGTAATATTGAATAAATATATATATATATATATATATATATATGTATATTTAGTATTATACGGTTTTCAAACGACTAAGTTAAACTGACTTTACAAATATTTGTGAGAAATCTTAAAATGTGTGTGAAATGCTACAAATGGATTATATAAGTGGTTTTTTTTCAATATTTCAGATGACCAGCAAGAAGAAGGTAAGTCTTTGAGGCTTTGGCATATTTTATATAAGCTATAAAAGTGAAATTAAGTATATATTCGTATTAAACGGGTTTAAAATGACTGTAAGTTAAAATGTCTGTACAATTATTTTTGAGAAAACTTAAAATGTGTATGAAATGCTACAAATGCATTAAATTATTGAATATAAAAATAATTCCACCATTTATATTGGCAATGTTATAAAATTAGTTAAGAACTAACTGAAGGTTAGAAGTATATATATATATTTTTAAATAATAATGAAATAGGGAAACATGTATTTCAATTATTTTTTCGTTGTTTTAGATATTACACGGGGGCCAACAGAAGAGGAACTGCAAGACATAATGGGTAAGTCTTTAAGACGTTAATAAAACGTATATAAATTATAGAAGTGAGATTGAAATACATTTTTATAATACAATTATTACACAAGGAAAACAATTATTTGAGTTATTTTTTCATTGTTTCAGAGAGACTAAGAGCTTATTGGATCGAAAAATGTAAGGTTTTGAGACATTGATAAAAATTATATAAGTTATAAAAATTAAATTAAATATACTTTTTATTATTCATTTTTCGAATGCCTGTAAGTTGGATGTTATTATCAGGGTTTTGTCCTTTACAAGAATACTAGCATATTTAAAATGATTTGCAATAAGCTTATAATGTGTAAAAAATCCTTTCATTGTTGAAAAAAGAATAAATTAGTTATGTCTTGAGCATATTATTATATAAAATTGTGTGTCTATTTTGAAAAATTATTTAAAAACCATAATGAGTTGTTAACAAAGTTAAATGGCTTAGATCAATAATCCAAAATGATATTATACCAATATAGAAGCACTTAAAAAATAACGATAAAATAGGAAAAACAAGTATTTGATTTCTTTTTTGATGTTTCAGATCCACCAGCGTTAGGCGGTCATCGTAAGTCTTTGAGACTTTGATATAACTTATTTTTTTAAAAAGAAGTAAAATTGAATATGTAATTTTATTGTTCGTTTTTCGATTGACTGTAAGTTGGATGATAATATCGGTTTTTGTCCTTTACAAGAATACTAGCAAATTTAAAATTATTTTCAATAAGCTTTACCTTGTGTAAAAAAATATTTCATTGTTGATAAAAACAATAAATTTGAAAAATTAATTAAAAAAACATGGGTAGTTAACTAAGTTAAATGGTTTAGATCAATGATCCAAATGATATTATACCAATATAGGAACTTAAAAAATAACGATAAAATATGAAAAAAAATGTTTCAGATCCACGGGTAGAACCACGACCTCCACCAGGTAAGTGTTTGAGATGTTGATACAATTTATTTTTGTAATAAAATTAAAATTGAATATGCAATAACCAAAGTTATTGTGCATCGATTAGCGCTTAATTAAATTTTTTTAATATAAACTAATAATTTGTATAATTTTCGATATTTCAGGTCCTGATGCTACAGACGTTGTTGACCGTAAGTTTTGGAGAATGCTATAACTTATATATAAATTCCATAAATTTAATTGATTATACATGTTTGTTATTCGTTTTTCGATTGACTGTAAGTTGGATGATATTATCAGTTTTTGTGCTTTACAAAGATACTAGCAGCTTTAAAAATATTTTCAATAGAGCTCTAAATGTGTATGAAATACTACAGATACCTTACATTGTTGAAAATAAGATTAAGTTTGCCACGTTCAAACGCTTTAGATCAACAACTAAAAATTATCATACCAACGTAGGCCCAATGTATTAGGAGGGGTGTTGGAGGATTCTTTAAATGAAATAAGATTGCATATTAGACCGATTGGTTAATTTTATGTTTATGGTTTTGAGGTGGACATAAAAACCTAATATGAGAATCTAATAGAAGCATAATGGAATGAATGATATATTTTGTATGCTCATGAAGTATAAATATGAACTTATTTAAAATAAACTATTTTTTTTTATAATAATTTGTTATTTTAAAATCACAATTATTTTAAGAATAAAACAATGGATACTAATAGAAGTAAAGCCTTAGATTACTTAGAGAGACTACTATGAGAATACTTAATAATATACAAAGGTAGCCTAACTCTTAATTTTAATTACAATATATGTATATGCTAAAGTATAAGTAAACGATTTTTTGACACAATATTTTAATATTTTTTTTTAGCTGGAAACTAACGATAGTTAAATTTACCAACAAAACTGCAGTATCCAAGATCTGTGTCACATTTTGAAAATACATATTCTTACTAATATGTGTATTTTGTAAAACGTTTAACTTTGTTTATCATAATTATGTTTCAACTTTAAGATTTTTCCGATCACAATGTATTCTAAATAACATATTTTATTACCTATAATATCAATGATATTATGTCTATTACTTACACCTGTCTACCAATAAAAATAATGTTCACCGACTAAGTAAACTTGTATTTTATTATCTAGTCTATTCCAACTATTTGTTTTTATTACTGCTTTGAATTTTTACAATAACAGGGTATACATTATGTGCAAAAAAAAGAAAAAGAAAATGCGAACGCTATTAAGTTATTTTTTTTTTCAAGCACATAAGTAAAAAAAATTCATATTATGTAAATTCCTACATTCTTTTCATGTTGTACAAAACGTGTGTACAAATACCCGATAATGTAATACTTCTTCGGCAGCTGAAAAAAATATACTAGGTGTTATGTACTTTAGACGGGGTATTTTGCAAACTTTATATTTGTTTTATAAGTGTAGAAAAATACTTACCTAAAAATCCATTTGAAAAGAATATAATATATCAAACCAACTGTGTACTTGGCCCTTGAACAATACGCCTGTTTAGTGAAATTTGTCAACACATGAAACATTATTGTGAGCACATAGAAAAAACCTATAAAATACAATTCGTTGAATGTTGTGCCATTTTATCGACTTGCCTACAAATAAATAATAATGGAGACAAAAAAAAACCCCTATTATTGAGGCAAGGTGCAAACAATTTGTGTTAAAATCATTTATAATTATCGATTGATTATGAACAACTATTATAACTGTTACTCGATACACCTAGAAAAAAAAGAAAATCAGAAAGTTACACTTCTTCACCGTTGCAAATGGGGGAACCAAAAAGGAAATTTGATAATTTTTTACTTTTTCGTTTGTCTTGTAATAAGACTTTGTCTTAGTTTTTGACTTGGCTGTGATCACTTGCACATGTACATGTTTCTGGTCCATGATAAAGAATCACCATGTATAAGCTTTAATATTTTAGTAACTAAATTATTATAATATATAAAAAATAATATAGAGTTTGTTTCATTACTTTATGTACAACACAAGACGTGTATCAAAGAGCGAGATAAAACTTAATATTTAGTAATTTACAAAGTAGTAAAATTTTGCAATATTTGGCTTAAAAAAATATCTTAAGTCGAACATTTAATATATTGAATTCATTTAACACGAATGATTAAGTTACGGTTCTAACTTTAAATTTTACAGAAAATAGGCCAGAAACTGGGAATGGTACTCCATTCATTAACTTCTATGCCACCAAATATCAAGTCTATGAATTTCTGGGTTCCCATATTTATTTAAAATTTGTAGTAGAATATCAGTTATCTACTGTCATACATAGGGTAAACTCTGTTTATGAGATCTTCCTAGGTAATTATTCCTTATTCAATCTAACCTTACCATTCTGCATATCAATATCATACTTAAGTATATTTATTATGTTGGTTAGTGTTTTTTAGTGGATTGTTAATATTATCTACAAATTCTGGGTGTTTAGCCACCATTAGCGTGTGGCCAAGCAACAACCCGTTGAATGTAAAACTTGGATGGCCAAATAAAATATCGCCGATTACTCAGACTTTAATATATACAAAAACAAAGTAATTGTTTTGCAATTAAAAAAAAAGGGGGGGGGGAATAAACAGGAAGTAAATAGTGTGAACTTTAAGTTGTTTTAAAATAGCACTTATAACAAATATAGCACTTATGTGGAGGTACTCATTCATCCTCATAACCAGAAATCATACCTGAAAGGTACTTTATTGGGCCGAATATTTAACCAATTAACCCCTTCCCCTGGAAAGTCAAACAAAACATGCAAAAAATTTACATATTTTCAATTCAAAATTATGATAGTGATACATTATAATGTATTAGGTTTTATTTTATACTCTGAATTTTCGTTGTATGAAACGCGCTAGTGTATTACAAAAAAACGATAAAGCAAGTATACAACACACGGTCGGTAACATTTGTTTGCGCCTATTTACCTTAAATTTGCAAAACAGTTTTTTATAAAATGAAAAATGAGTACTGCCATGCTGGCGACCCCGCTGTGCTGGCTTTTTACACTCAATATATTATTCCACGTAGAAAAGGCAAACCGAACGACTCCTAGCTGACTTTGTCCTTGAAATTGTTTATGCCTAGCGACGAAAAATACTTAAATGTAAAAAAAAAAAAGTTTGCCTTTATCTACCAACTCAAAACTTTACAAATGCAATGATGTAATATGACGATGTATTATGACTTTGAGGCACCCGCACCTGATAAAAAAACCAAAGCGACTGTAATGTAATATATTTTTCGGCTGGAAATCAACTTTTAATAATCCAAAATAATTAAAACAAAGCTCTCAAATAATATCGGAATTATTATTATTGTTATTTTTATAAAGCTAAACTTTTATCGGAATATTTATAATCTGTAACATAATCTAAAATAAGCACATGTTTTGAAAACTAGACAGTGATATTTCTCTAGGGGAAAGTCCTACGGCTAATACTTTCTTTTACTTTCAATTACTGAAGCAGATCTCTTGGCCAATTAAACGTCGGATAACATCTAAGAAAACAATTATTATACCCTTCACACGCGTCCCGGCATGTGAAATACAAGTACAAGTTTCATAAAAACTTATACTTGTAGTCTCTTTAAACATAAAACCGAATGTATTTCAATCGTATTGCTTACATACTTAATATTTCTAAAAAAATATACGTAAAACTTATGCACACCCATGTAATAGTGATGGCACTTGCAATGACAATATGGACTTAAATCTGTATTTTCAGTATTAGGGTGGATGCGATTAGGGTTGGTCGTATGTCTGTTATAAACTGTAGTCGATTTTCCTCCCATATATTGTACCAACTGTTAATTATTAGCAATTAATCAAAATTATTTTTTAGATACCTGTTGACTTGTTTAGGTTTTTTCTTAATAAAACAGAGTTTGACCACAGACTTTTGAGAAAGTCGTATCCTATCATGTTATACAAGTGTCTCCATTCAAGATATCTACCATCAGTTTTATTTTCAGACATTCGACCATCGCATATTCAACTGAGATAACAGAATAAAAATAAAAAAAACAAAATGTACAACACAAAACGAAAACTCCCGTTGTATATTAAATTTGGCACATCAACAAGAGACAATCGGACGACAATAATATTAAATATTATACGGTATATTTACATATATTAGAAAATAACTTAATCTCTAATCAATGGGTTTATGTAAAAAAAAATATATATATTCGGTATAAAGCTGCTGCTGTTGTTACGATCCGACCACTAGGCTCGACGATAAATTAGCGTACCTACATATATAATTGTGTGGCTTGGAGCAAGAAGGGCCAATGTCACTTTTTGCGACTTTCGAAAAATGAGCTTTGAAGTTTTTATTTTCCATTGAGCTCTATGTTAATTTTTTTATCAAACTCTTCACGAGTAATTCAATTTTTTCGGCTCAGAGTGTGATTTTTTCACAGTGTATAAAGAATGATTCAATTTTTGCAACTAGCGGACAAACTCGTTAATGCACACAAAATTGACTTTGGCCCTTCTTGCTCCAAGCCACATATATATATATATGTATATTTTTTTTATAGGTAACATAATATATATTTTGGAAAAATAAAAAAAATAAATGTAAATTGTACGAAACAACGTTTCTTCAAACGAAAAAAAAAAGGTTTTACACGCTAAACGTTCACCCTTATCCGGAGGGCGAAGTAGGCGAGCAGTCTGAAAAACACCAGCATGATGGACAGCTTGATGACCTCGAAAATCGGATGGCTCCGGTCCAGGTTCAGGTAGTAGATGATGATGTTCGGGTCGCGGAAATGGCAATAGTTGCCGGGGCAGTTGAGAGGCTGCCGGTGCAACCCGAACACGGTCAGCACGAGACCGATGACGCCGCACCGCAAGAAACTGGCCTGCATCACCACCTCCATGATCCACGGCACTTGATGCGCAAAGTCGAAACCGTAAATGGCCAATCCCAAAAACGGCGCTATCATCATCGGGCCCACGGCGCTGCCGTTCTGCGAAAAAAACACAAAACAAATATATCAATTGGCACGTTCTAAGCCGCGTCGAGCCGTCGCAAAGCCCGACGGGTATGGTCAGTCTTAACCCTTAACTGGTATTATGGGGTCCAAGAATACCCCAAGAATATTATATTTTGTTGCTCTTATCAGTTATCATAATATTATCAATTAGTTTCTAACCTCCTTGTATTCCTCAAACATATATCTCACTTTGGTATACAGCAAAAACATTTTATAGGTTATGATCACAGATATATATTAAAACTAGATAGCCGACTAAGAAATAATGTTGAAGTCCGGTAAATGGCCGACTTTTCTCATTGTTTACATTATGAGTAATGATAATGAAGAGTTTCATTATAAATTATCATAGTAAAATTAGTTTTAAGAACTTTTAATTCAGTACGTTTGACTTCCTATAATGATATAATAGGTAGGTTCTTAATGTACAAAACTCATAAAAGTTTCACTCGTGCATATTACCTATATACCAAAGTTTTTACTTCTGAATAATTTTTTTTTTTTTTAACTAAAATATTAAAAATTAAAAGAAAAACTTTTAATTTATTTAACGATTCAAAATACAATTTGAAATAACTAACATAACAATAGAAACTTTGGTAATTAAAACATATGAATATTACAAATGATGTATTTAAGTATAATAAATTGAAATCACTAACATTAAAATAGAAAATATGGTATTTACAATATAGGAATATTACAAATTATGTATAAGTATAATAAAATGAAACCACTAACATTAAAATATGAAATGTATGAATAAATTATCGCCTTCCGATATCCAAATTTCAATTTCCAATACGTAATTTCAATATTATACACTAGAAATATGTAAACAAGGGGCTCTTTGATAAGAAAAGTCGGCCATTTTCGCGACTTCAATGTTTGATCCTGTTATTATAGGAAGTCGGCTATCTAGTTGTAATATATATCTGTGGTTATGATAGTGTAATATGGTATCCCGTATTATCGCAGTGATGGGGTCTCACATTACCCCGTGATACCAAGTGCGTATGAAATTGTTTGTGATTATAAAAAAGTTTGATTTTCAAATAAATTTGAAATTATTTTAAAATGGCTATTGCCGTGAGATATATGTTTGAGGAATACAAGGAGGTTAGAAACTAATTGATAATATATTTAAATGATAAGAGCAACAAATAATATTCTTGGGGTATTCTTGGACCCCATAATACCAGTTTAGGGTTTTTACGCTATCACTATTTGTTACTTTACGCAAAACCATTAAAAAAAGTCATTATAAACAAAATTGTGACTTATGGCGTTTCCAAAAGTAAACGATTTTTTTGGTAAATAAACAGTTTTCAATACCGTGACGTTAAAAATGGATCCGACCAGCAATCCCATTCCTTCGGCCACGAAACAGGTGAGTAAGCAAATCGAGCTGAACAGTGTGAACCTCAGCAGTTCTAGAGGCAACCCGGACATGAAATACACACACGTGGTGTATATGCTGCTGAAAAATATCTGTTGAAAAAATTAGGGTTAAAATCATTAGCAGTGGACGACGACGGTGAGGGTTATATTTGAATATATATATATATATATATATATATATTTATATATATTATTAATCGACTCACGATTGACGGAAATTTCGACAGCGTTAGCGCTATGTAATACGGTCTCAGGCTGTACCATCTGTTGAAGTATTCTTGCTTGAGTAGTTTCACTTCGGACGGGACTGGAAACAAAAACGGCAATCATCAAGTAATCGGTATATTATTATTTTTTACGACCATCAATAACGTACATGCGAGCACTTGGACCATGGATTGCGTGAACGTGTGAAACAGTATGTTTCCCATGCAGAATTTCATATGATTGAAGAACTGAGTACCGTCGTTGGCTTTGCCGTAAAACACTATGCCGACGGCTAGACCGCACACGAGATGATGGTAAAATTGAATATTCAAACCGACCTGGGCAAAACATGATTATATTGTTTTAATCAAAAACCAAACGTATGCGGTAGATCAAAAAATTAATTTTAAAAAAAATGGAAAATTTTGTCTCTAACTATATGTAATATAGTACTGTTTCAAAGGAAATTTTGAGTTTTTACCATTTTTTGGGCCTTTGAATTATGTGCATTGTACATAGTTCTTGAAATATTTTAATTTCTAACTCTTGTTTCAAGAAAACTGATTATGTGATGTGGGGCTGCCCGAAGTCTCAAATTTATTGTTACATCATGCTAAAACTACTTTTTTATTTTTTACTTTTTAGAATAATTAAAAGTACAAACAATAATTCCCAAACGTTTAATTTAATTATTTTGCGACCTTTTGTTTTTAAATGAAAATCTTGTTTAAAAACAAAATTAATTTAAAAGTAAGTTATTTTTATATCAGTTTTTAATGCTAAAGTTTTAGTATAATGTACTTTTATTTAATTTGTATACGGTTTTTTCACTGTCGGCGTATTGAGACGACTTTAAAACCTAAGCTAAAAGACATTTTTATATTGTGCTTTTTGTTTTTTTTTAATGGTCACAATGTATTACATGGTATGTAAAACTATTATTGGATATCAAATAAAGATTAAAACTAACTCAAACTCAAACTGTGTTTGGAAAATTTTGGTTGGTTTTAAAATCGTCCATTTGAAGAAATTATTTGTTGTTTGTGAAAATGCTTAAAACAATTTTTTAGCTGGTTTTGAAACTACCACCTATTATAGACTATGTTATTATAATCTATAATATTGTACGAAAAAATGATTATTCAGTCAGAAAAACGTCATACAGTTTAAACACGGGTGTTAAGAAGGGTAAGAATTTTCAATTTTAGTAAGTACACAACTGAACGTGCCGCACCGTCAAATGATATATTATTGTAAAAGGAAAAGTACGTTTCATACTGACAGTATGTAACTTAGTCGTATTAGTAAAAATTAAAAAACTAATAGTACATTAATTTGTCGTTTTGTATAATTTGTTTTCAATAAAGTAACCATGTTTTTCTTTCAAATATCAATGGTTTTGATGATTTTTACTTTTTTCCAAAACGGTGAAACGGTTAATGGAAGTTCAAGTCAAACGAATGATGATATGGTAGTTCAATACAACAATGATTTACTAAACGTCGATACAGGATATCCGAACGAAACATACAGTGAGCTAGAAAAAATCACCGATAATGCAGCGGTAAAGGAAAAAGTCTACAGAAATTTGTTGTGTAGTTGTGTGTTTACTTATCGGTATTACATGAACTTGATTAAACATTTGGTAGACGGACCATGGAGATGTTATTTGGAAATTGCATTTGAATCCAATTGGATCGATGCGACTACTTTCCAAAATGAAATTGTCATAATGTTTTTCGTTTTGAAACATCTCGGTACGGTAAATTCTTTAGACCCGTTATGGCTGATGTATGTTTATACGGGTTGTTTAAAACGACTTGCCTCTGGCGACTGCTCACTACAAGATCTCGAGGAGAGAATTCTTATCAGGCACGATCACGATATCATCTATAGGTCACTTACACAATTTACCGACAGAAATTGCCCACTGGATAATATATACAACCACCACTATGGTAAGTCCGGCTACTTTAATAACTTCAATAACGTCGATTTGACTGATACAAACGCAGACACCGTGGTGCAAAGCTTGTTTACTGATATTGTTACAACGATAGTTAATAGAAACCAAAAAATAACACAAAGCTTAAGCATCGACAATACTCGTGCAAATTTTAAAATTGACGATTTGCGCTTGAGTCAAATTATGCTCGACAAAGATATTGTGAAAATATTGTTAGATGATTTCGCAGCAACCAAGAACAATCCAGATGCGTACAATACAATACAACAATACTGTTCCAGTTCCCCCATTATATTTGATTATGTTCAATCATTGATCGTAGAGGTCGGCAGATGTCTGACTGTATTTGTTAATCTAATTAAGTATATAATCTATCGTACTGTCATAAAATACATATATGATGTGCATTCGGCGTTGTCTGTTTGGAAAAAAAAAGAACAATTGACACAATGGATTTTACAGAGTAACTTAGGAACGACCAACAAAATGATGTCGAACAACTATAAAGATATTATCGGTTTTTTGAAAATAGACGAAGACGATGAGTTAAAATTTGTCGTTGAAATGTTCAATTCGGAACCGCTTGCTATGTTTAGTGATCCATCGAAGAGAACCGATAACGAAAACCGAATTAGGAACATGCTGAACCGATTTTCGAAAGGATTACACCTTTACCCATTAGAAATTTCACATGCCGCTTTGGATCAATCTTTCAAAAGTAGAAGAATGGCAAAAGTGCTTAACGTGGCAGAACGGCTCAACGTGGAAGTAAGCGATTCCAATGTGAACCAATACGAAGGCATGCTTGATCTTTTTGTGTTTAAAAGCTTCATAATTAGTGTATTTGGTGATATTAATTTTGACTTCGCTCATTCGTTTTTCGAATTTCAGAGAAATTTTTGTGCGGCTTTTGATTTATCGTGTTAATAACAAATTGTTTTATTGAAATAATTATACGTGGAATAATATAAGTGATTTTATATTTATAATATTATATAAATGGAGGCTTTTGTTTTTTTGAGTTTTTGAAATTAAATTATTTTGTTATGTAATTATACAATCTGTAAACATTTATTTTACATTAAGTATTTTTTGTTTATCCATTTACAATTAAAACAAGGTATTACACGCAAAATCGTACACTCTCGATTTTTTTTTCCTTGGCTTATCTTTTTCCATTTCCAACCGCCAAGGGCATCTCTAACTCGGGCAATTCACCATTATTTATGGCGTCCTTTTGGTGTTGTATCACCTGGTTTCCACATTAAGATCTTATGTACCGGTTGCCCATGCCCCATACGCATACAATACAATAGGTCTAACTTAAACCGATTTTTTTGGTCTGAATATAGATTTGAATAGTAGCACAAACTGTAAAAAACACTTCCTCGCAATTTATTTTTTTGTTTGAAACCGTTAATGTAGTACTAAATTAAATATTATATAAAAAAACGTCTTTTTTTTTTTTATTTTTTTTTTTTTTGGACCACTGTGCCACGTCAACAGAAGTTGGTTTAAGAATATCGGTTACCTTGTTTCTGTACAACTGTAAAATCATCCGTTTCCAAAGGGTTACAAACTGCGACCAACCCGAAGTCGGGAAGTCGATGCACCAAGTGTCGGCCGTGTCTTTCTCTTGTTCACTCAAACTGGTGTAGTTGATCGATGGCAATGGCAGTATTTTGCTGGCACTCACGTTACCGTTAAGCTCCGGCAAGTGTATTTCTCCTTTAACACATCAAAATATCCAATAAGTCTAAACCGACAATATCGTCTGATAGTATGGAGAAACTATTACATAAGATATCGAATGTCCAATAGTGCAAATGTACTGGACGATATATCCAAAACCTAACACGTTTGTCTCACGCAGCCTCTACTTATCCACTCATCTAGTAGTCCTATTAGTAGGCTTTATAAAACTACCCTTAAGAATTCCCTGCAGCCTAAATACGTCCATCTCAACATGCCCTTTTTAGCACTAGCTTCCATATACATCGTTATTATCCTCACTAGAGTTTTGTACGAATTTTCCGTTTGCACTTGACTAAACAAGTTTCTCCAAATTTCTTAGCTGTAATTATGTGTGGTCAATTTTAGACGTATATTTGTTTTCAAATCGTTTCTCACAGATTAAAGGTATATCTCTGACTTAAATCCTAACATTTCTGTTATCCCATTCACTAAACCAACATCATCCACAAACGGAGGACACTCGGGTAGTTGATCACGTTTCTATTGCAAGTTCACCTAACACTAAGTGAAATGAGAATGATTTCAATTCAGCACATACCCTCTAAATTTTCGTTCCTTTGTCGATAGTCTCTGCTATTTTTACACAAATCCAGATCGATTCCCCTGTGACACCCTTCAACCGTTTCTTACCGTTGATCTCCACGTCTGGATAGTAGCTATTGTTGACGCGTTTGGCTTTGTACAGCGATAGTTTGCCGTTAACCGTGGCAGAGGACAGCTTAGCTATGTTATCCGGTTCCTCGCCGTCGGTCACTTCGATGATAAAGTCGGCCGGGTTGTAAGTCAGAGGACAGTGGAGTCCGACTGTGGACAGGAATGGGACTAGTTGGTCGGTGGAACCTTGGTACACGCAGTAGCCTTGAGATAACACGTACACGTGGTCAAACAACTGGAACATGCTAGCGCTAGGCTGGTGGATAGTGCACACGATGGTACGGCCCTGGTGAGCCAAACCGCGCAAAAGTTGCAGACAGTAGGTACTGGATACGTTATCTAGACCACTGTAAACAAACATTTATAAATATAATAACCTCAAAACTTACAAAAGTAAACTTGTGAAGCACGGCGGTGTATTTTTCACTTCTATACTAAATATATCGTACATGAATGATTCAGACTAATCAGACTCGGGTCTTAAAGTTGTACTAAAAACAAAATCATCTCTTCTTCTTGTTAATCTTACACTCCGCACTGGGGAGAGGGGCAAAAAAATAATTTTTCTTTGTTCCTCTAGTAACAGTAAGTATGTTCTTCTAGGTATAAATAGTTTCTTTGAATTAAAAAAAACATTTTCCTGCCATATTATATCACAACAGAACCATCCACTTAGTTCCATGTAAAATAAGGTTAACTAAATAAAATATTCCTTTAGAACTATACGATTGTGATATCATAATATGTTGAGTTACGTAAGTCTAAACTTTATTGAAAACTTTGATAAGATATGAAAAACAGTTTTAGTTTTGAGGATTTAAGGAATTTCAAAATATATCTAATTAATGTGCCTACAAAAACTGCATATTATTTATACTCTAGGCGGCTATCCTTTACTCTAATAAAAGGAAATATTTTACCTGGTGGGTTCGTCGAGAAAAATTATTGGGGGGTTGTTAATGAGTTCGAGGGCGACAGACAACCGTTTTCTTTGGCCTCCCGACAAACACTCGGTTCTTGTGTGTTTTGCTTCAGACAGCCCAAGGACGTTTTGGATTTCATTAACCTATTTATTAGAAAACAAAAATCTTTAAAATGTTAAATATTAAATTAGTTATTAATATTTATTGAAATATTAAATTAGTTATTTGTTTCATCATTATCTTGCTGGCTCAGGTGAACCCTACAACATTTCAAACTGACATTTGATCCAAGACTAGTTTGAAACAATTTTTTTTAAATATACAGTTTGTATTAAAGTATTAGCAAATATGAGTGGCAATCAAGTATAATTTTCAAACGCGTACACTGCTCGACTACACGCTGCCCTTTAGGTTTTATTATTTATAACTCGGGAAGTAATTACTAAAAACTAGTCATCAATGGGCAATGTTATTTTTACAACTGTCAGTTATAGAGCGAATTACCCGAAACGTTGATTGTGAATCACTTAATTTGTAAAAAAAAAAACACACTTTATAAATAATAACATATGATTAGTAGTACCTGTTTATAATCCGGTTTTCGAGCGGAGAAAATTAAATTAGTTACTTGCGTATTATAACGTTAGGATATTATCTCAGCCAGACAGGAAAACGAAAGTCAATAAATAATGTGCCGGGTAACTTACGATCATTTGTTTTTCTTTGGTCACTGTACTGCTGGAGAGTTTAAGGTCGGCGGCGAACATCATTACTTCGTTGAGCGTCAACATCGGTTGGATCTTGTCTTCTTGCATTATGTAACAAGACATTTTCCGAAACCGTTTCTCGTCTCTTATTTGGGAATTAATTTTCATGGAACCGCTTACGCCTTTACGACTGTAATACACAGTTACGATAGAGTGTAAAGTGATAAGATTGTGAACAAAGTTAAGTAGGAAACGCATTTTAATTGGTCGACAGTTTCCGTTTTGTCAAGTGCAACATTATGCCAATATCGTTTCAAAAATGATTATTTATTTTGAAACTAAATTATACTCACACATAACCGGACAGTGTGTTCAACAGACTGCTTTTTCCAGCCCCCGATGGTCCCATAATGCACGAAAGTTCACCAGCCGCGAACCGTCCATTGACAGACTTCAGTATAGTTCTCACGTGTCCTACAAATAACAAAAACAAACGACTATGAAGTGGCTAAAAATCAATATAAAAATTACAAATGGACCTAATATGGGACATAGGAAGGGTTGTGTCACCAACATGGTCTATTGAGGAATAACCAATTCTTAACTCTATCGTCGAATAAACAATTCCGTTGCGCCAGTTAAGCTAACGACATTATAGGAGATGCTGCCACAAAACATTATTTTAGTTTATTTCAGCGAAAAGCATCACACGCCCACTCTTACTGTTGTAGATAAGAGTCTTGGGAATAGATATTTTTTTAATTAACAGCATGCTGCTACTTAACCAGAGAAGTGTATGTGCATGAACGTCAAATAGTAGTCTGTAGCACGACCTTATTTTAACACTATAATACTGTTTAAGGTCTAAACAAATAATTTATACACATTGCTTATACCAATGCACGCGATTTATATGATATCATTTTGTATATAAAAAGATAGCCTAGCACGAAACCAACTACGAAATTAGATAAATAACATTTAAATAATAGTCTTCTTAATACTAGAACGGTAAATTGAAAAATGTACAGCCTTATCTAACCAATATTTTAACTGCAATGAATGCAGAATCAATGGTTGCAGGTCATAACTAACATATAGGATCTCAAAAAATGCTGTGCTCATTGGGGGAAAACCAATACAATATTAGAACATGAGGTCAACCAGGATTTAGTTGCTTACCCTCTTTACAAGTTGAAAAGACTATTCTTAGCGAAATATGCTCCAGAACAAACCAATAGATAAAAGATGCCTCTATCGATTTTTTTTGTTGGACAGAACACAATGGAGTAATATTTAATACAAAACGACTTATTTAAAAAAAAATACAAATTAAAACCGGCGGTTTGGATGTATTCAAGAATGAATGAATCGAGAATAAAGTTATTGAGATTCTACTACTTGTGTAGATTAAGTAGTTGAATACAAGTTGAGCTGTAGTATAAGGTAAGATTTCTTTCGCTTATATATTCTACATACGTTAACCCTATACTATTTACCAAGGATTGAAAAATGGAAAACAAAATAATTTTCGTTTTGTTCTCCTGATTAGTTTTAGGAACGTTTTCAATTCCTAATATTTTACCTCATGTCATGTATACAAAATACAAAGGATCTTACTGCAATCACCCTATACAGTAGTAAAACGAATGGACAACAGATGAATTCGGAATAACGGCTATTGTGTCATTGTTTTAAAAATTAAAACGAATACTCATTTGCAACCACCATAATACGTGGTCGATAGTTCAGATACGTGCTGTGGTCCTGAAATTTCCATTTTAAGCATAATCGCCAAACGCCAACTAACATTTGATAATAATAATTATACTATGGTCATCAATCCGTCACTCCTAAAAAGTAGTTAACAGTTTAAAATTCACCGAGCATAAAATATTTGAACTACGGGTACGTCTAAAAAATACTAAATTTCATACAACATCAACTAAGATAAATTAGGAACATATCTAGTTGGAAAAATATTATCTAAATATAATGAGTTTTTTAAAGTACACGAGAGTAATATATACATATATATATATATATTTGTAAAATGTAAAGAAGATAATTTAAACAACAAACTTATGACTTGGTTAAACAAAAACCCCAATACAATTATTTATTGTTATTATTTTTTTAGTGAAAGGTTACCAGCTATCAGTATTGAGATTACGGAAGGTATTTCCCTTTTTATGCAAGTTGTCATGTTCTTAAGCGCATATATAAACGTATTTTCTAATAATATTAAGTGTTTTAAATCCCGAATCCAGATTGTTATTATTAAATTGTTAACATTTACATATTTATCGTCAAATATAAAAATATTAATTTCAAGAACCTTTGAAAATTAGCCAACTTCTTAATAGCTATACATTTTCATTGGCTAATGTTTGGTTCGACAAATTTTGTGTCGTCCAATGAAAATTAAAAATGATAATTAATACAATTATTTTCCTCTTTTCGCTTACTCCCATTTTATTATTACCTTCTATATTGTATTACCAAACTGAGACTTTTTATAGTTTATTCCAAACACTGAATGGACTTGGACAAAATTTTATATTAATTAATGAAGAATAACTAAAACAAATCGAGTAACGTATAATTAAAATAAAAAAATAATATTTTCGAATAATGGTTTTCTCTGATTTTGTTTTTTTTTAACAACTTTTAAATCCTCATTTTCAAATTATTTCACTTACCAACCGTAACCATTCACAAAGCTCTCAGCCGATTGCCGATCGACCGTTCCCAGACCTTGTAATAAGTGATACCTAATATTGACCGATCCGGCGGACTGTTAACTCATAAAAAAAACAAAAACTACTTGAAACAAACTTGTTTGTGTGAAATTATTCTGACGTAAAAAGTGAAAGCAACCGGTCAGTAGAAAACGGTGGATTTTTTTCCACCGGAACCCCGAGAGACAGCAGATGGTGTCATCGATATTGTGGAGTTAGAAAAAAAATTGCGTTTAAATAATTATATCATAATAACGAACGCATACCTCCATGGTTATAATGTATACATTAAAGAATTATACACTTAATGGCGTTATTACAAATACCAGGTATATTATTACGTGTAAACCGTACACGCCATACAGGACACGCACGATTAAATCGTAATGCTATTTGACATATATTATTATATATTTTCCAAACACAATATTATTGTTTATTGACCTACAACGCGTATAGCCACTGACGAATGTAGTTGATCATGTCAGGTCCGTCGCTTGTACAGAAAAAAACAAAACAAATACAAGCGGCGTGCATTGCAATGACTACCGTTTTTTGAAGAAAGTGGTATTGAATAATTGGTGACAAATTGATAACCGCACACTTCCTATTACGACGCGCAAACTTAATTACTTATCATCATAATGTAAAGAAACAAGACAGAGAGTACAAACACATTTAGCCAACAGATGAAGATCCCAAGAAGCCAACACCACAATTCGACGATAAACCGATGGTCAAACTGACCTAAGCATTAGGAGTAAAATCAAAGGAGGGCAGCGTTGGAAGAAAAAATGGTTTGCTAAACCATTGAGTACTTAGAGCCAGCAACGATGTCTGGAATTGAATATTGGGTAATACACGAAAGAAACGAAATGAAAATGGAACTTGCAAGTAGCTGAAATGAGAATATGTAAATGTATTTTATTTCTATGGTTCAATTTCCAGAAAAATACAAAATTGAATTGAACAGTCACCATTTCTAGAACTTTGTTTTTTTTTTTTGTAGGCAAAACAATACAGAAACCCCGTGTACAATCCAATGACCCTCACTAATTTTGTATTTTTGTGTATCAAGACACATTTTTTTAATGAAATAATTATTTTTTTCAAAAAAAAGTTAAGTATAGTTTATCCATTTTCCGGTACTGTAAAACCATAAAATTCAAACTCTCATGGTTTGTTTCGGTTATGCTAATAAATAATAATTAATATACACATCTGTTAGTATGCGTAGTGTACGATTGTGTTTAAAATTATGTTTTACTTAAACTTAAGAGTTTAAAACAGAATCAATAAAAATGATAGTAAATAGTGGCAGTTTTATGTTTATATTTTTTGTTTCCATGAATATAAGTTTACTATGATAAAATGTGTCCATTAAATAGTTTATATATTATAAAAAACCACAAATTCTTCATAATGAAAAAAATCTTAAATTATAAAATTTTATATAAAAAAATTTTTAAAAAATGTCTCCCCTAGAACTTGTTGCCACGTGTTTCTATAGCTAAGTCTTTTGTCCCACATGTGTGGTAGAGCTCTACTCGAAACCAATCCGAGTGTACGATACAACAGTATTATTCGCCATGTCTAATATAGGGCATATATACATTTAATTCGCACGCTATATTATTTGCAATCTCATCAGAATCGCCGTCGACTATGATATCATATTATGCGTATTACGAATGTGTGATATATTATACAAGTAATATAATACGTATAAGCCTCTATGTTCATTTGCATAATATAATATGCCTAAGTAGTATCTCGTGCGACAAATAGTTACTGCTTTAACTAACTAATATTCACTTAACAGTTAACATAAATGTTCGATAGGAGCTGTCAAGCCGTTGGAGTTTACTGATCATATTAAATTGTGTTCAAAGCTATAATAATACATAAGGCATGATAAATCACAAATGCAGCCACGGTAAAATTATTTGTAAATTATATTATTGAATACCGCTTTCACTTTTCACACGGTTTATCTAATTTATGATCAATGATTATTATTTTTTTATTATTTATATTTGTTTTAAATTAATATATTCATGGCACGCGAAACGAAGCATAGAGAAAGAGGAATACATCTACTCAACTTTAAAAGTGCCACTCCCCTAATATATTTTAACAATAAGATAATGCAGAGTAAGAGGAGTAATGAGTATTGTCAAACTTAAATGTTTTAACCTAAAACACTGTATAAATATATTTATCTATTAATCTATTATTTATTCGTTCATGTGGTATATTTTAAATATGTTAACTAATTGGCTAATTTAATTCGGTTACATTATGTATTATTGCATTAAAGTGTTTGTACTTAACAGAAGATTTGAATAGGGTTTACATTTTTTATTATTCTATAAAGCCACGAAAGTACATAACCTTATATTTTAAGAGACTTTAATGGTTTCTTCAGAAATCCTAAATGATCCTTAATTGATAAGGCTTCCTCGTAAAGACACGGAAAACGAACTCTATTAAAATTCTAATAATAAACCAGTAAGTGATTATAAGTAAGTAATTAACAATTAATTGAATCACGCTATGTGCAGTACACCCGTACTTGATTAAATACCGATTATTCAATGATAATAATTAACATTTATATTAAACCATCAGTTATCATTCTTAAACATAATAATGTTTGGTGGAAAATATTGTAAATATAATATGTAGGGGTTCGTGTTTAGGTAATTTAATTTCTGATGTCATTCTGAAAACATTAACGAAGCGTTTGTGTTTTATTATTACATACATAAATATCATATACATATACAAGCATAAAAATGTTGACAATACTAAACAAATCATAAAAATATTATTTCAATGAGGTGTTTTTTTTTGTAAAATCCACTTTTCTCCATTCATACTTAACCAAAATCGATAAATGAGGTACCATTTTAAAGATTTAGTTCTGACGCTTCTGACGAATTTTAATTCCCAATTGCAAGTTGTATTATCTGTTCAAAATTCAAGTTGAAGTGTGCGAAGTTTAATACCAGACGTCTGGGTCGGTTGTTTTTGTATTATTTTTTATTTTTTTATCTCAACCACGGCGGCGGTCCTTAAAGGACATAGGTGTATTTTTATTATTATTAACGCTGTTGTTTGTGAGCAAAATATTCACACGGGCCAACAAGTATATTATAATTTTGTTCGATACTATATTATTATAGCATACATTTTTGCTGTGTGGAAATATGTAAATACACATGGACAATGTGAACTATGTACGTTGACAGTTTTGTACGGGTACAGGTCAACCGGGTTTTCTAAAATATACACAAACTGCGATGAACTTATGAGTTGACTAGTACAAGGATAAAAAAATAATAATATGATATAAACTCTCACTTTCATTTTTGCTCATACGCGCGTCTGTCAAGTCTACCTTGTAATACGTACGACTGAGATGTGTCTGTATACTTACAGACAGGATTGCAAAATAGTTAATTCATATTATTTTATACATATAAATGTACAAAACATTTCTGTATGTGAACAGAATGTTTCCCGCAAAACACAAAAACAAACGCTATATCCTGAAAACATAGTAAAAATCGTTTAAAACAGTTTACGGGTAAAAACAATGTTAGAATGAAGAAGAAATGTGTCCCCGAGGCCAGCTCCAATCTTTATAGTCTCTCTCAATGTGCCACTTATTAAAAAAAACTATAAAAACAATAACGAAAATGTTGTGTAAACATACATCGCCTCGGTGATATTAATCACAATACAAAACACTGAAAAACAAATTCAGTCCATAACAAACGACGTTATGTTGCTGTAAAAATAGATATTATGTTATATCGATTTATATTCATAAATTATAACAAATAACCAAGCGATAAGTTTCACCCAGTTTTAGACCTCATAGTGTGTAATAAAATAAGACAAGGATCCTTGTATAATATGGTTAAAACCGTTTTCAGACCTCAATACCAATCCATTAAAAAAAAAAATTAAAATGCTTCCCTATCTAAAATTTGAACCAATTTTTTTGATTTCTATTACACTCAATAATTATTGTTCATCTATAGAAAAAAAGCGCTCAACAAGTTAATACACTTAGCAATGCTCTACTTAAGTTGGTAGTTGTAGTTTGCGGTTGACCAATGTCTGAATACTTCTACAACTGCAGTTTGAATCATACTAATATATGTAAACTGCAAACTGGACGGATAATTTTTTATACAATATAAAGACCAACAAAATGTCAAATGCGTAGTAATTTTTAAAGGGTTTTTTAATACCGTTGCGTCAAAGCCAGTAAAAATAATTTGGTAGTAATAATCATTACCGACATAACAACGTGTAAACAACAGAATTTGAATAATTTTTAATTTTTAAAACGTCGAGTACAGAATAGATAAGTCTATATTTATGCATAGACACGCATCGTCCAGCAGGTTTTCACTAACAAATGATAGTTAATAAAAAAGTAAATGTTATTGAAAACATCAACATCAATTAAATATGCGTGCATAGATAATACGCAATAAAAAACCCTTTGAATCTCGTTGTTTTAAAAGATAATTAATCTAAAATTACAATTTTAACACTTCGACACAAAAACAAATTATAAATAGGTTTTTTATGCTTATTGTTTCTCATTTTTTCGTTACTAATAACCGTCACAATGAGATGTCATTCGATACTATCCATTGTTTGAGCGAATATAAAATACAATATGTTACTTCCTGAAAATGTATAAAAAAAATGCTTATTCGAAAAAAATAAACACAAATTACAAGTATAAGATCTAAATGGTATTAAAAAAAGTATTGTAATTAAAAAAAAAATTAACAATGATGAGTAGTTAAAAATGGCCAATGACGAAAAAATTTGTTTTGTTTATATTTTAGAAATAAAAGTTCAAGTTCAAGTTGAAGGCTAGTGAAATAATATTTTTGCGGCCTACTTTCAAACTGACACGCCTATTTAGGTGTATGGATAGACTTTTTTTTTTTGATAAAATTGATAACTTTAAAGATAATTTAATATGAAGTAGAATTTTATCAAGCCCAAATATCATTCCCACGATTATATGTTTAAAAATCGAATATTGTAATACTTCAAAATTGTATACAATATTATAAAAATCTATATAAATAGTTAAACAGGTCAAAAATACAAATGTTTTCTTTCACCTACCCGACCCAATTAATCCATAAAAATTGTGTTCGAGGTTATTAGCTAAAAATAGTCTTATCATAATATCATACAACTATTAAATAATTTACAATAATTGTCTTTCTAATTAGCACATCAATACTTGATGTATGTTCTTATGATTTTCATAATCTGATTCTGCTAAGGCCAAATCTTGAACAAGGACCAATAAAGCCGAAAACATAATAGGTACAACGATCAAACGTGATTAGGTATTTTTCTGTTGTGAAATAATATGTTTCCAACGGTACATTAACCCCAATTGTTGCAGCGCATTACATTCTATGTGTACAAAAGACATTTTCGCAGGAATATAGTAATTAATGGGTAAATTTAAACTCTCAATAAAAAAAACAAAACACATAACATGTACTCTTTTAGTAAGTCTAACCGAATGCCCTAGCTGGTACCGTTACATCATTCCGTCATTACACAATCATAATTTTTTTTTGGCCACGAATCAATTGTTTATCTAATATATTCCAGCTCGATTGATAAAAAAAATTGTATCAACGGTTATTTTTATGGATGCAGAAACATCTTGTCATTTTTTGCAAACTATTGCATTTGTTTTGTGCTGATTCTTGTCATTGGCCTAGTTTACACATCACATGTTATCTATATATAACATATTAAACTATTAATAAATATATTATCTAAAAAAATCAGTGTTTACTGTTTACTTTGTTCGCCCTACATTTGCCCAGCTTCCTATAATAGTATTTTGTTTTCACCAACGCCTGTTATCAGAAATGTATTAAAACTGATGCTGGTCATGAGTCAAAAAATTGTGACCTAGTATGACCTAGAGTATTTACACAGTATAATATCGCACCTAATACACCTATAATTGGTCCGGCGATCTAGGCCAATGATTATAAATAATTAAATATTTTCATTATATATTATCTGAAGTTCTTGAAAAAACCGTTATTAAAATGTAAATAACACAATTGAGGTCTATGATACAGGTATACGAGTTTTTTCTCTACTCAATTATTTACTTGTTAATTTCAATTCAATGGTATTGACATTGAAGTGGGTATTATTTAATCTAAATTTGTTTGATACGTTTGATTATTTACTTTTATAACGATACACTTAAAATTTAACATAAATTGCATTTTATTTGCACAAACAATTGAAAAATTGAATAATTCATCAAAATGTAATGGACCAATTGCGGGTCATTGGCTGCGAAATGAACTTTAAGGAAGAAGGGACTACTAAACTTCTATCGTATCACCGACATGAGAGTTTTAAAATTATATCAGATATCTTATCACGTATGTAATCTTAACAGTTAACGCAATTATTATCACTTTTTTAATTCAAATCACGTTTTAGACTTCATGGCCAACAAATGTGTACCACTTTCGTCGATGAAAATATAAAAAAAGGTTTCCACCGCCCTCAGAGTCAAAATAAATATTACGAATCCAATTCTAAAAGCATTCGATAGTAGTTCTCTTTGGTGATTTAGAAAAACACAATAGTAATAATGCGGTTGTCTTACCTTTGCGATCCCAAAGCGGCGGTTTCACCTTGTAGGTCAAATCCTCGAATTGAATATCCATTTTTTCGATAGATTTCTTTTTTTATTAACGACAAAAAACTAAAAAAAAAAAAAAAAATACACTTGATACACGCAAACGGTTTTTTTTTTCTAATATTTTTGTTGTACCTAAACAATATTCTAACCACTCGCGACGACGGCTGCCATGGCGTGCGCAACAGCGGCTTCAACGATGACCACAACAAAACTGGCAATGGTAAACGCGCGAGGCACCGTTGTCTGTACAATCGGTGAAAGAAACGCTAAGAAGAAAGGGGAGCCTTGACACTGTGCGCCGGCGGTCGATTACCGTCTAGCTAGTACCAGGTCCCCTTAAAGAGGTTAGGTACGGTCGTTGTCCGGTCTCCTGTCGCTTTTCACCCACTGATAACAGCGGCGGTCATCCGTACTCCAATGATAATTAGCTATTGATTGATTATTTGTTTCAAATTTTATTTCCGACATTTTTGGGATGACACCCACTCTTGAATCCACTGCTCCGTCTGACCGTGAACAAAAAGCCTTCCCGGGTTCAATGGAAAAACTTGCAACGGTCAAATTTTAATAATTTTATCTTGAAACCATTTTACACGGTGTAAGCAAAATAATTTTTACCAGTTGGAAATTGGGTTGTTCGAAAAAAGAAGGAGGCATAGCGCGTTAGATCTTTACTTGTGTGGATATGATGCACCTAAGATTGATTATAAAGATTCTACCGAGTTTGACATATTAAATTGCCAACACAGTTAGGTACTCATATTATGGTCGAAACTATATTAATACGTTTTTACTAGTTCAGGGCAAATCATTAGCGCGAATTTTAGACTTTAGTTGACACAACCGTCTAGTTTTTTAAATATTGCTTTTGTTTTTATAGTTAAACTGGGAGGCGTTACGTAAAAAACAGTGTAACCTATAATTTGAAAGCCATCTGCATTGAGTATACCCTGAGGGTTTGGTATCCAATCCAAAACAATGGTGGTATGTGGAATGTAGATCATACTAAACGATGTTTGTTTAGAATTTTATTTGCATAACAACAAATTTTTTTAATATATTAGAGCATCAGAATAATTTTAAAAAATGCCTCTTATCTTAAAAATTGAGACACACTAAACAAATTTTCAATTTGACACTCTTAACTTTGAGTTAATGGTCAAAATAATTTAAATGTTATTTTGAGTTCCTAATAATATTATAAAAATATACAATAATAATATAAATGATTTTATATTTTATGTATAATAACATAAAAATCAAGAAGGAATTCTATTCTGAAGACAGTTTTTATTATTTAAATTATTGATTTTCGGGCCAAGGTTTTAGGGCTTTAAGATTCAAAATTATGCTCACTTGCCTCTAGTCACCGAAAACCCGACTTTAAACCCCAAATTTACCCAGTTTTACTGTACTGTGTTTTTGACAAGACAAATGAAATGAAAATAATATTTTGATCTCTCGCAGTTCGATGTGGCTTAAAGCCACGTTAAGTTCAATTAATATTAATGCTCAGAAGTTTAATAGGTTTGTTTTTGAATCGGTCATTGGGTGAAGGTCAAATGACAAAAATTCCATTGTTAATTGTTATTGATAATATATTTAATGTTTATCGATTATTATTTAGTTGTAGGAAGTCGGTAATCTCAAATCAGTAGTGTCTTCAAAAACAATGGCATGTCGCATAGACAAGGTGCATTATTATACTCTAATGTATATTTAACTTGACTATAATAGTGATTTGTATACCGAGAAAAATGTGTTTTAGAATTTAGTTTAGCACGATTTGATACGGATTTAAAAATCACAAACAGAAGTGCTTTAAAATATGATTTTTAAGTGAAATAACGACTTAAGAATTTTAATATTTTACACTAAAAATTTTGGGTTCCAGTAGTCAATAAGCAAGAGATATTAATAGTATTAATGAGGTAGAGGTCTACTCAAAAATGATAAAAAATAGGAATTATCAATTAACGACAAATGACAATAAGGTAGTATGAATACTTGAAGATGCGATTTTCACAAAGTCGACGCTTACCCAAGACATTATGGCAGTAGTATCGCGAATTTTAGAATTAGATTACGTGCCATTTAGCACAAGGAAAAGGCATATGAACCATAAACACCCTCTGGCCCTTTTTTGTCTGGCTGCGTAGGGTAAATTCATGAGCAAAAATTAAGTGGTAAATGGTAAAAAGCCATGGATTTAAATTTCCACTGTTATAGTTTCTATGTTTATAACTCTGCGAGAATGCTACCAGCGACCAATTTTGGGTTTTATTCATTTCGGAGTCAATTAGTATGTATTATACAGACTTTGATGGCACAAGTCGTTGTTAATTTCAATTGTCCACTTTGTACACAGCACACTCTTGGGAGCTTCCAATTGGAATATTTTAGATTTGGCGCTAAACTATAGAATATATAATGATGCCGGTTATCAGTACTTCTATCCTGAATCCTATCCCATGATATAAGTAGGACACCTAGGTGTGTAATTTTGTGTCGTATCTGTTTATCGCTCGTGCGGATAGTTCAATGAATAACATTGGCTTAAATAGCAGTCAATGGAAACTATGTGTTGTTTAATATGGCGTGTTCCTTGGTAAGATTGTTTTGTAACATATTTTGTTGTCAGACAACAATGTACGGATCACGTGTTATCCAATTTAAGGTTTCGAATTTGTCCGAATTGACGGACCGTGAATGTCTGTTAAAATTCAACAGCAACGTTACTTATATTCTGTATGCAAGAACTATTGTCAGTGCGCCGTGCGACGAACCGAAGAAGCTAGATATCTAACTTGTGGTCGAATTGAGGCCTAACCAGCCAGAGGTTAGGAATAATTGCACATAAATAAACGAGTTAAAATCACACGATGAAGCACTACGGTCGACGGTTTCGCAAGACACTGTTTGCTCGAAATTAAATCTGTCCTAGACGAATAGTCTACACGCAATGGAGTTGTTATCACGCACATAGATCTCGACATTATTATGTATAAGAGTTGCAGCATATTCTCGCGTTCATAATATATTCTTGTCTGCTACCGACCCAACGACTTTGTCGAAAAAACTTAAAAAAAAAAAACAATAAGTCGCTGTACTCTGTGGATAGTATACGCGAAACCGGTACCACTGTAAACCACTAATAAGCAATAATCGATTGCACAATCTGTATTCTCCGTTACGCGTGGATCGGCCAACAATTGATAACGTATCGTTGGGCTATAACTTCTTCTTCTTCTTTCTGCAGTATTCAATCTATTGATTGGTTTGCAGCAACTTCCATGTATCTCTATCACTAGCCTTCCTCTTCAACTCTTGATATGAATTACATCCTTGATCTTCTATTATCTGACTTATGTATTGCAATCTTAGTCTTCCTCTATGATTTTTTCCATCAATTATTCCTTCTAATATTAGTAATAGCAACCCACCGTGTCTTAAGATATGACCTATTAATTCATTTCGCATTTTCTGTATACTCTTCCATATTGATTTGCTCTCAGATATCCTTTCTAAAACTTCTTCATTAGTAATTCTATCAGTCCAACTTATCTTTTCCATCCTCCTGTAGTACCACATTTCGAATGCCTCTATTCTTCTTATTTCTTCTCTTGCAATAGTCCATATTTTGCATCCATACAACATAATGCTCCAGATGTACGTTTTTAGTAGATTCTTTCTGATGTTAAGATCAATGTTTTTTTAAGTAAAAAGACTTCTTTTCCTATTAAATGCCACCTTAGCTTGGCATAATCGCTTTCTAATTTCCTTTTTGCATTTCCCATCTGAGCTTATCGTACTACCCAAGTATATGAAATCTTCTACTTGTTCTATAGTTTCATCATCCTTTAATTTTATTCTTGTTCTTATGTTATTGTCTCTACTACATACTAGAACTTTCGTCTTCTTTGCGTTCATTTTCATATGTAAATCCTTTTCCATTACCTGTTTCAATGTTACTAAAATCTTTTTTAGGTCTTTTTCGTTCTCCGCTATTATTGCAATGTTGGGCTATATGCTTAGTACTTAAGTCGTGTACAGATTTTTGCTGTTTTCGGACATTGCCTTGTTGTGTTTACAGTCCTTGATTGTATCCCGGACATGGGTACACTTTTCGTCTGTAATTTATTTACTTCCACAGACGCTTGGACTTTCAACGAAATTAACTCGATGGGTTTGAAACGGTAAAAAAAAAAAATAATCGTGTATGGCGTTCGAGACGTTTATTAGAAAGTTAGATAATTGTGTAATTTCGCTTCCGAAGGTCCTCGCGAACGGTGGAATTCGTTTGGAAAAAATAAACTGGTGGAAACCAATCCGGTCGTTAGTACCGGACAATGTTGACCTAGATTATAGGATCACCCATAGTCTATTGATACAGTGTTAAATCACCCCAAGCGAATCCATTGTGTCTGTGAAATTTATATAATATATTTTACATAATGATACATTATTATTCAAACACTCCCTATTTTTTTTTACCTACCCATAAACCACAACATTTGTTTTTGTATAACCACCAATCACAATGAACATGTATGTCAATGATAATGCCAAAAAAAATAATAAAACGAGAAATCACACGTGTATAACATAATATGATGTAGTGCACGTGCGAAATCTGTGCACCGTGCCATCAATATTGTATTGACTATTAATATTAATAATTATTTTAATTTTTTAAAAATAGTATAGACTTTTTTATTTAGCTACATTTTTTAGAAAAATAAACGAAAAGAGCACTACAGAGAAAACAAGAAATTTATGAAAGGAAGGCGCACAAGTTTGTGTGTGTCACTCAACCTTTTATGTTTATCTTTAAAAAAAACAGCTACTATGCGAATCTGCACTTGGTAAAAACTACAAATTATTCAGTATCAATATAAATTACACATATATATATATATGCAATAATGTGTTTTTACAATCATGTTATTTGGTAGTTTTTTGGTCATACCAAACATAACTTTTTTCATTAATTATAAAAATTATTTTATTATGATCAATTCTTCCCAGTGAAGGTTGACTAAAACAAACGATTAATATAAGTAAGTAATGACTCTAGTTTTTTAATAATTGATGTGTAAAAAACAAAAGTTCTCGAGCAAAAGCATTTGGCCTTTTATTAAAAAATAATCATTTTAATCTACTACAAATTACAAGTGTATTGACCGATTATAAACCCGTATTGAATAATTATTTTACAACTTTTAAGTTGTAGACATTCGTTTCCAACGCAGAAATAAAGTTTAGGTTTTGTAACATGCGGGCAACGCCCATCTGCCAGCTAACAAAATTATCAGGTACATTAAATAACGGTTATATTTTGTTTTTTGTTAGTTGAGAATTCGTTAGCGTGTCAATATGAAATACATTTTTATTTACTGTTCAAATAATTTACTATTTAGAACTTGAAATATATTATTTGGCCATTGCGCGTAGGAGACAATTGGTGATATGATATAATTGTTGTTTAAAATTTAAATTCTAAGAACTCTCACTTACAGATATCGATTACTTGTATGTGCGACAAGTCAAAACAACCCGTTGCCAATGATCTTGACTGTATACAATAGCGATGCGGGTTATATTAGGCGAGAGAGAAGGGATTTATGTACAAGTACAAACGTACGTACAATGTTATAATATTAAAACCCATAAAAACAGTTGAAATCGTATATGTGTATGTGTGTGTGTTTAGAGGCCGAGCAAGAACAAATGAAAGTATATTATATGTTTAACATGGGCGGCATCGGATTAGGTACTTTCTCCTTCGTTCGACAACGGGTTTATACGGCTTCGTTAGCAAGTAGTGGAGTAGCTAATGGTATAATATGTACCTATACTAATATAATATGTACAAAAAGAAACATACTTGACGCGATATTATAGTGTATGCTCACGTTCGATAAAATAAATTATTCAAATACCAAAAGGGTAAGGTAAAAGTGTGGTCAAGTGGACAACGGAGGACAAAAAGAGTTAAAAGTACCAGCGATATATTTGATTTCAGGGTGTCGGTAAACGTGTGACCATAATAATATTAAAAGCGGTTACCTAGGTTAACTTCCAGTGTAATTTATTTAGCTGGTATCGGTATTAACCGTCGCTATACCGATCATATGTCCGTCATAATTCGTAGTGTAGGTACTTTTAATGTTATTAAAGTGCGCGTGTGTTACATAAGTATTTCAAGCGAGAGCAATCGCTTTCGAACGAACCGAACACCGGAAACGCCTGCGGACCGAACACTATAAATATCATAAGAGTGAGTGGAGATTACAATAATAGTATTAGGTACGTGTAGACGCGTAGCCGGAAAATCATCAGGGGTAGAGTTAAAAGCAAATATATACATACAGGGTGTTCCAGCATGAAAGGTAAGTAATAGGTGATTGAACATCTGAGACACCCCCAAATAAGTAAAAAATTAAAGGTTTCGACAGTTAAGTAAAAAAATAATGACCTAAAAAAACAAAAAATTATTCCATGTTCTTCAGTGCAAAAAGCTAACCTTAAAAGAGGGGTCCATCATTTTCAGTTTCTTTCGGCCCCTAACTCAAAAAATGATAAGAGAAAAATGATTAGAGACCAGAAATAAATGATAAGTGATAAAAGATAAATGCTAAGACATAATTGATAAGAGATAAATTATAAGAGAGTAGAGATGAATGATAAGAGATAGGTGCTGAATGATAAGATTTTGGAGATAAATAATTAGAAACAAGAGATAAGAAATAAATAATAAGAGACTAGAGGTTAGAAAAAAATGATAAGAGAAGAGTTAGGGGCTGAAAAAGACTAAAAATGATGTGACCCCTCTTTTAAGGTGAGCTTTTTGCACTGAATAACAGGGAATAATTTTTTTTTTTTTAAAGTCATTATTTTTTTACATAACTGTCGAAATCTTCAATTTTTGACTTATCGAAAAAATAAAAACGGTGGGCTTATTTGGGGGTCCCCCAGATGTCCAATCACCTATTACTTACCTTTCATGCTGGAACACCCTGTATATGCCACTTTCCTTTCAAAACCAAGAAGAACGCCCGAAAAATGTCATATTTATTAACCTAAAATTTCGACGCGCTATAACTTGTTTCTAAAATAGTCAAATTAGTTTCAAATCTGTATGGGATTTTTTTTAGATAATGGACTATCGATAAACGTTAACAAACCAAATAAAACATATCGCAACGAACGAAGTTTTAGCACTTAAGGAGCCCCTCGCGACTGTGATTCATTAAGGGACATTGTATAGGCAACTTTTCACCAAAACTTAACTTCCACACAAAAATTTGTAAAAATATACATGAACACTTAAATTAGCACTTACATTTCCATTCTAAAGAAAGTTTTTAATTCATATACAATTTTTTTTAAACGCTAGTCTAACGTTTTTGTTAAGGAAATCCTAAAAAGTGGGAAATTACACTTTTGACCGTATTAACGTTCTCGGTCGCTATGTGAGAGTGGATCAATGGTCAATTATTATTTATTGGTATTTTAAAATTAATTTTACTATTTTGTTGATTCTATAGGTAACAATGGCAACTAACCTAACCCAACTAAACCTAACAAAAAAAATTTGACCACATATTTCAAATTATGTACACAAAGGCTACTTGTTTTAATAGTTGTACTTGTTCGAATAACCAATAAAGAGCACATGATATATCGATGGGGATTTTTCACATATTGTTTAAAATGGCGTTACGTTTGTTTTTATTTGAAATTGTAATTTGTCTAATTAAAATACATACTTATTTTCAGATGTCCTATATGTATTTGTTTTATATATATATATATATATATTTTAGTATGGCTTAAGTACATTATTTAAAAACCTTGGAATCAAAAATGCTTTGATAAATTGCATTTGTAAATATATTTTAGCGCACTGTTTGTTATGTGCTTTTTCTAGTTATGGCGAATAAAGCTAAGACACACTATTTGTCTTTAAATAGTATTTATCACTTAAACTATAAATAATGAATTAGTTACTTAAAATTTAAGTGGTCGAAGAAATAACCGTTTAGCTTTATTAAATAAATATTTATATAAAAAAATAAATAAATAATAATCGCCACACCCCTAAAAAAGACAAATAGCCTTCATAAGCAAAGTTAATTACAAATATTTGTGGAAAGTATAATTTAAAAAAATCACAACTATTTAATTAATATTAGTAACAATTTATAACTCAATAAATTGTAGTAACTTAAATTATATAAAAATATTAAATATATCATAAAATATAATTATATTAAAATATATCATAAAACTATAACAATTTTTTTATACAACATTATATATATATATATATATATATATATATATATTTAAACATTAAACAAAGTTTGTATAAAAAAACAACAGTAGGACTCATTTGCAGGACAATTGCAGCGTTCATAATTTAATAATTTTGGTAAGAATCTTTATATCGTTCTTTCAGGTGCGGTCATAACCTCTTACGTAGAATTAAATAAAAATTGAGGTTTTAGATTGAGAAAATCAAATGAAATGTTTTATAAGTTTTAATAGCTACGAATATTGTTTCATAGAAACAATATTAATTATTTAATTAAAGCGTTGAAACTTCAGCCATCTTTTTATGCTTTCGTTTTTTATTCGATTTCGGGTGAGCGATTTTATTCGAGAAATTGCCTACAGAGTGCATAATTCTTTCCAAGATATTTCTATTGTTCTTAGGAGGCAGTTGGATTTCTTCTTTATATATTTTGTCATCATCTTTTTGTTCTATTGCTATTTTATTGCTGCAAGTAGAATCTATAATCGTCTCAAGTTTTTGTTTACAATCTTCGACAACATCAGTTCTAAAATAAAATAATTGTCAATCATTAACTATCGTACAAACAAATTTGGTTTCATTTTTATTTTAACACAACCTTTTAGCTAATATATCAGTAGAATAGGGTGAAACCGTAATTCTAAGTTTTTTCCATGGATCGCAAAATTGGTGATGGCGATTAAAAAACAAATGGACGTAACATTTGAGTTCCGGAGGTAACATACAGTCTCCAAACACACACGGAATTATTTTTGGAACACGTTGCTCTGAAACAAAAATATTAGCACTATGAAAGTAAATATTTTTTTAAAACATTTACAGTACATTTTACGATACAACTATTTTTTTACCACGTCAGTTAGTTTACAAGGTTTATTTTTTAATGCAGTATAATGTATGACAAATTTTAACTAATAAGTTTTCTCTACAAATCTATTTTTTTTTTTACGTGAGCAACATCTATAGTTTTAAGAATTATCGTTAATCCAATCAAGTCGTTATTCTATGTCAATAAAGAACTTACCAATTGCTAAGACTTGAGTGTAATTTATAATAAATCTATTCCAAGGACTATTGAGAAAATTGTTTGACACAATTGTAATTAACCAATTACATCGATCGGATATCAGTCTTATGATCGATTGATATTCAAACATTACGCCCGGTCTCAAATCGCGATCTTTCAAACAAAGCTAAAAATATTTTACAAAATTAGAATAAGTATTTTTTTTGGTCGACAGAGACAATATTTTACTCTCAGGTTATAGTTATTCTCTAATTGTTGTACGACTTTGGTGGCGGATTCTATGTCTGCATCGTCGAACAATAAAAACGCATCATATCTTGTAAAAGGAAGATTGTTGTTGGATGTATGAAGATCATCTAAATATGAAAGTTCATTATTAAAACTATTCAGTACAATTACTAAATATTATATATTAAAATACAACAAATACCTAATGTTATAATATCGGCATCGTTTTCTTGACACTTTATAACCGGCCCAGGGTTCGCTAATGAAAACTTCTTTTTTTTGTACTCACTTATGTCATTTTCTAAAATTAAAATTACATTTATTAAAATGAGGCGATAAAACTATACGTATACATCAATCTTTTAACTTACTGATCATATCTTTGATTTCATCGGCAACATCATATCTATCCAACCGTTCTAAGCAGTTGACAAAATGAGCTATGGTGACTTTATTTTCGCAAAATTTAAAAATTTTGCCAACGGGATCGGTCGGATCACATCCAGACGGTATAGTATAGTTTAATAGCGTACACAATCCTCTCCAATCTCTGAAATTATGTCGTCCAAATAATTTATAGAATCAATAATATGAAAAATGTTTTTTTTAAGCAACTTTATTATGTAATGTATTCTATTAGAGATATAGAATGGGCTAAACTATTTTATTTAAGCATTAAACAGAAAACAAAAAAATAAAATATATAATATGGACAAATAGCGACAGATTCTTTTTTGGCGGTAGTTAATTTGTCGATAATTATTTTCTAGTAAACATAACAAAAATTACAAAATATAACATACTGTATTATGTGAATCAGTGTACTTGGTAAAACTCACCTGGGAAAATTTTCAGGCGATGGCAATACTTTTTTGGCGTTCAACATACACGACAATCGTTCCCTGGTCGGCAATTGTAAAATGGAAATGTTCAATTCCGAACAGTCGTCTTCGGTCTTGTCCATGTTAAATTGCACGCAGTAAATAGTAATAATAATTATTACTATTTACTTGAACACAATATGAACGATAAACTTGTTTACATGGTTTTCGAACGATTCAATGTTTAGTCATCAAGTTTAATGGAGAAAGTACCGAACGTGCAAAATCCCACTGCTCACTGCTGAGACCACCTGAAGAATGCCATTCGTTAGTTAACACAGCAGATACGATAATGGTTTTCCGCATAATAATAATAATACTGTGATAAGCAGTACTCGGGCATCATGTGTTGCCTATGTCGAAAAAATATAGGGAAATTGTTTTATGAGATGTCCATACCGTTACCGGAGAAAACTATTGCAAAAGTCTAGAAACAATATATTATTAAGAGGGCGTCGCACCGGTGATTTTCAGTGGTAAAAACATGTTTAAGCAGACTGAAAATAACTCGCTTAATTTTGGGTTTAGAGTAAAAGCGTCCATTATAAAATCAAAAGAAAACAATATTCCGGAGGGCAAGACGGTGCGTTTTTTTAAAAGTTTTTTGGAAAGTTACAGTCATTTAAAAATGTTAAAATAGTCGTTATTTCTAAACTATGTATTGAGCGTATATACTTAGAATAATGAAGAAAACGCACCGTCTTGCCCTCCGAAATATTGTTCTCTTTTAATTTTATAATGGGTGCTTTTACTCTAAATCCAAAATTAAGCGAGTTATTTTCAGTCTGCTTAAACATATAGAGATGAAAAAACATTTTTAAATCGCTTTCAAGGATGCTGTGATAGTTCAATAAATAAATTAACTACCAAAATAGGTAGTCCTAGTTATTGAACTAATAATTACACATCACAGTTTAATCTTTAAATTAAGATTTTGTAAAAAATTTGCCTATACTTTGCTCCTTAAAAATGGGCGGTGCGACGCCCTCTTAAATATAAATTGAATTAGTATTTTTTTTTCTGTTTGCTCTGATCAGAGGAGAGGTTTGGCAACAATAAGTAATAACTATATAATATTATTATTGGACGGTCTCCAGCTATATTATTATCTCACAACGACGTAGTTGTATGACGGAGAAGTTTATCCAATTTGCTTGAGAATTACAAGGACTCCGCCGGACGTCGCAAATTAGTCACTTGTAAATAAGTCTATCTACTTCCTATCAATCGCGATTAACGTTAAAATTAAAATTACAATATGCTAAACCGAGTCATCGACAATTCTCGCAATTTCGATTAATTAACATAGTTTCGACTAATACTCGAAATAATGTATTGTGCTTATATAGGCATATAAAGCCAAGTCGAAATCAAATCTAAGATCGCTCGAAATTTGATATTTTAGCTTCGATGCGGAGCTGAAAAGGTATTGTTTTTACCACGATATCTCGTAAACCGCTGAACCGATTTCTTCGTGTAACAACTCTATAGATCTGAAATCATACCTGGAAGGTACTTAGACAGGCCAAAAATTTAAAAAAGTCACCCCTTCCCCATCAAAACCGAGAAAAACACCTAAAAAGTTTACACATTTTTTAACTTATAATTACAATGCTCTATAACTTTTTTAAAAATAGTCAAAAATGTTCCAAATTTATACGAATTGTTCTTCAAACATAGTACTATCGATAAACATTAACAAACCAAAAAAATATCATAAACCCTTTCCCTTAGAAGGGATAGAATTTTTTTCACTTTTTCAAGCAGTTTTGGAGATTTAGATCTGAAAATTACATCAAAGGTAGATCTAAAATGGAACTATAACATATACAATTTCCTCAAAAATCTGAAGTCAAATTTTTTTTTATTAAGGAAAAACCCCAAAAATAGGGTAAATTTACACTTTGGCCGTAGCCAATTTCTAGGTTGCTATGTGTGTGTGTGAATCAACAGTCATCAGGCAATGAAAATATTTTCATTATATTGTTAATTACGATAAATGGGTAACTATGACAGTGCATTTTTATAGACAGACGATCAACCCTTATCGTATCCACCCTGCACAAGACTAAATATTAAATGTTAAGTACATTATTGCTGGTCCCACGATATCTTCTAAACCGCTATAACTGATTTGAACATAGATTGGCATCGAAGCGTTTATTTAAAAGTGATTTCATCACTTTCAGTTATAATCAAATCTGTAGACCTGTGACCTCTCCGTCCCCACTATGCCCTGACCCCACTGTACTGGCTTTTTTTAAAATTAATGTTTATAATACAACAATGAATACAATTTTGGCTTATTCAATGTAAATATTTATATTATAAAAATTATTTATAATATAAAAAGAGTTAATTTTTTAAAAATTTCCTAAGATGTAGGCGAGTTTTCGGTTAAAAAATAAACAACCAGATTATCTATTTAGAGAAAATATTCCAAGTGGAGCCCTATTCTATGAAATATTCAATTATAGCAGGGGAACAGTGGCGCGAACAACGGTGGATATTGTTGTCATGGAGAATTCCGTTTTGTCCATCGTTCGCTTCTGTAAATATTATACTGCGAGTAAAGGCGTTTTGTAGTATTCTCAAAACACAATACAGGCATTGTCGTTTGCTTGCTTGCTCGTCATGCTTTGGGGTTCGAGCCCGTGTCTGGACTTGGCGTCTTACGGCGTCGGTCGCGGTAGTATAAACGTGTTGATCATAAGCGCCGGCGACAGTCGCCACGTTCTGCAAACGATCGCCAAACGGTATCGGCACGCTTATGCCAAGATCAATATGGAGATCTATGAACCGGTGCCGGAAATGTACGCCAGGTACATACAGCAAATAGCCTTGGCGCTGGAACCCGTCGACCGCATTAGCCTGTCTTTTAAGGTAGGTATCACGTTATTATGATCATATTGTATACACTACTGGCGTACCCAACTAGAACGAGGGCTAGGCAAGTTCATCAACTCCTACTAAACTCGTTCAGACACAGACCCCAAGTAAGTAAGAGTTTGTAAAAGGTCTGAACATCCTTAGGCCCCCCCCCCCTCTAGTTACGCCAATGTTATACCACACTGAAAAACCCGAACATTTGGGGTGCAGGTTACACAGCTATAGAGGTCCTCCAGGCTTAGCCTAATAGATCAGGCCTATAATAACAGGCTCTAGATCTAATATAATATCTAAACATAATATACAAATTACTGGAAGACTGTGGGTTATTTGAAAAAATCGGTGGGCCCTTTTCAAAATAAACGTTAGCACTAGATTATCTTTCTTCTTCTTCTCCTTCGCCTTTGGTGACAGCCAGCGCTTGTCTTAAACCTCCACACATCATTTTGCATACACTAGCAGGCTCCGTATCATTTTCAACTGTAACTATCTTTTGTTCGATTTCCTCTTCTCCTATTTTTGTAAACTAATTTTTTTGTCCAATACGGTTTTTTTCAAAATATACAAATCGATATGTTTCCTTGTAAAAATTGTAAATATTATACCTACATTAGTTTTTAACGTTTACAAAAAAAATTGTTTTTCTAATGTGACTGCGTTAATCTAATATATTATAATGTTGTAAAGAATAATAAAAAGTTGGGATAAAATTGTCTTTAACCTTTAGTTGGCTGAACATATTAAAATGTCGAGCGGTTTAAAAAAATTACAACAAAAAGTGGCTTAACGAAATAGGATGAGGTAATTACTTGATCAACTTGGTGTAGCTAATTTCCCCACTAGGAAATAAATAATCAATAACAAATGAACTCCTCTAACGGCAGTTTCTATTGCAGACATACTTTTTTTTTTTACACTAACAAAATACTTTGTTGGAACAAAATCATTAATGTATTTGACTTTGTGTACAGGTGCGCACGTGGATGGAACTCTACGGCAACGCGTTAGTGAGACCAAACACGAATAATTATTTAATTAAAAAATCCGCTCAACTGATAGACTTGATTACCGACGACGTTGCTAGTGAATACTGTTTGCCGACGGTCAAGTACGATGCACTGAAATACAAGGAAAGAGATTGTATAGAAAATTTGTACAAGTATTGGAGGAACAACGTGGGGTTCAATATAGTGAAAATGTGGGATCTGAGAGTCCGACAATATCTGGGCACCAGATACGATTACAGGAACAACGCGTTCGACTGGGACTTGCACATGGGCCTACACTACATCAAAGGCGGCAAGAGGATAACGAGCCAAGAGTACATCTATTGGCGTAGCACCGGTGTGGCTTACACGTTTTTGGAGACCGACTGCACCAAACCCAACTATACGTTTGCCTTGGCATTGCTCAAAAACGGCGAGGACACCGCAGCGATGCACTACTACGGTGATATACTCAACGGACCCTTTATGTCTTTTGGACTGGATTGCGAGGACCAAGACATGCTGAAGACTGGCAACATGCAGCCCTTGAAGCGGTCGGCAGATTTAACCGAGAGAAACTTGACAAGAATGTTTTACGAAATTGAAAACCAAAAGCCTTACGTGCACAAAGGTAAAGAAGACGACGATTATCCCGGAGTGATAATAACAGAATTGCCCGATATCAAAGTCGAAGACGACCAAACGAAAACGGCACACACTAAAGTCAAGTCCGAACGTTATTCAAGCATAGCGGTAAACGACGTACAAGTCAAGTTCCTAACAAAATCGGCCATGGTTGATTATCCGGAATTCGAGAGGTATAACAAGTTGTTCGATGTTGTTTACTGTGGGCATACGTTTATAGAGAAAATCAACCCTAAAATAATGTCAATGGTCAAGGACGACGGTGTAGTAATGATGGAGACGAGGAAATTTATCGTCAACTATAAAGAAGAGCAACACAAAACGTTTAAGCAGAAATTAATGGACTCCATGGAGAAGTGTAAATGTAAGGCGTCGGCAAATGTTGACGTCACTCAAAACGCAGTAATTAAGTTTCAGGTGAAGCGTGATGTATAACATTATATTTTTTTTTCTAACTTGTAATAAATAATTAATTAATTAATGTAATAAATAATTAATTAATAAATTTACATTCATATTTTGAAGCTACGTTCAAAAATAACGGGGTTAATTACATATGTATACATAGTCCAGAAGAAATATTATAACATATAATGATTACAATTAACTAATACTAACAAAAGCGATCGTTCTATTGCTTAATAGCTTTTGGTTCTTCCTTGCTCGCTACCCCCGACAATAGAGTCTTGATACGAGCAACTGCTCTTCCTGGATTTAATCCCTGTAACAACACAAAATATGTAAAACCTATTGAATTTAACGAGTGCTTACACACTATACCTTTGGGCATGTTTTGGTACAGTTCATTATCGTGTGACATCTGAAAACTGAAAAAGGATCTCTCAGTTTGTCCAAACGCTCAGTCGTTGCAGTGTCTCTAGAATCGATTATCCAACGATACGCCTAGAATTAAGAGACTTTTTTTTATTTAACTTCAAAATAAAATACGCTTTCTTCAAACACTGTTCAAAACTCAGTACCTGCATGAGTACAGCGGGTCCAAGATATTTCTCAGAGTTCCACCAGTAAGAAGGACAGGATGTCGAGCAACAAGCACACAATATGCATTCGTATAAACCATCCTAAAATACATAATTAATATTAAAAAATCCTTCATTAATTCAATGACTAGAGACTAAAATTTTGTTCGACTTACAAGCTTCTCTCTATCGTAAGTATGCTGTAAATGTTCTTTCTTAGAACTGGGATTACCGTCGCTGTGTAGCCATGGCTCGATTGAAGCGTATTGTTTGTAGAACAATTTCATGTCAGGAACCAAATCCTTGACAACGTACATATGTGGAAGAGGATATATCTTCAGCGGTTTCGACAAATCTTGGTTGATGGCACTAACGTGTTTACAAGATTGATATTCAATAAAAATGTACATATTTTATTACATCGATACTACTAATAATTTTCGTAATACAATAATTAATTTTACGAGGCAGTTTCTGACACCCTTTTTGTTTTTATAATACAATATTTTTTTTTTTTTTGATTTTCAAATTCAAATCAGTTTTTGTCAAGTATGGGCAAATTTACCTTGTCCTAAGTGATTGTATTTTTTTTTTTATCATTATGATGCATACATTATGTAGTTTAAAATTCCTTAGAGACCTTTTTTTATTTTTTAAGTTGATTATTAATTAAATTAAATTTAAATAAGAAATAAATAAGTTTTATTCAATGCTCAAATTACTAACTCAAATAATTTTTTGTTAAATTAAAAAAAAAATTTTACCAACCTACCAATAGATATAGGGAAATCATTATTATTATTATTATTATTATTATTATTACTTTTTTTTTTTTTTATAATCAAAGCTATAATGAAAACAAGAAAATTAGTTTTGAAATATATATATATAAATATATATATATATATATCAATAATTTATAATTAGTAAATTATATTTGTTATTATTATTCAAATAAAAACCTCTTAAGTCGTAGTGTCCAGTAAAATTAATTTGCTTTTTTTGAGTCAGTAATGTAAATAATAAATACCTAATACAAGCCAATGTGTTTACTCCGCCAATGTTCATTGCGCAAGAACCGCAAATGCCCTCGCGGCATGATCGTCTGAACGTCAACGTAGAATCCTCACTGTTCTTGATCTTAATTAGGACATCCAACACCATAGGCCCACAACTAAAACATTTTTAGCACGTGATTTTAATGGTAAATTAAAAATTTGTCAAAAGCGTATAGTAATAGTATAGTATAGTGTCGTCACCTACTTGCTCAAGTCAACTTTGTATTCTTGCATTTTAGGCTTGACGTCGGGTGTGTCTGGATTCCATCTGTAAACCTGGACTTTTTTTATTCTTGGCGTTTTATCTTGAGCCGGTTTGTCAGCGGTCAAAGCGGCCGATACGTGCAATTGCTTGACCTGCTGTAAAATGACAATATTTTTCCCCAAGGTCCCAATTAAATAACCCCGTTGCACAACTCAAACATAATTATTGGGTACATCTTACCTGTCCGAATGTCTGTTTCAAAAAACGCAAAGCAGACATCTCAGCAACACTTAAACCAGCCATAGTTAGCAAAAAAAAATTACACAAAACGGTAATTTGCGTTACAGTTCAATAAATACGGAAAATAAATAATAATTATGTAATATTGTTTAATCCACTCATTCCACTACGATGAATTAATTATTTCAAGCAGTGCAGAAAATTAAAACCATAAGTATTTTGATAAAGAATCATATGGATTTCAAAATAATATGTTGTTAAAGACAGTACAGGGTTACCATTTGAGAAACTCACAATAAAGCATATAGTTTCTTTTTCAGTTTTGCAACATATTTTGTAAAAAAAAACTAAAAAGAACATATTATTGTTATTAATTTACAAAATTTCACTTTTTTAATAAACTTAAGTAAACCGCATTTTTTGTAAAAAAAAAACTGATTATATGAAATAATCATATAATTTGTGGTAAATACAAGCTCGGTAATTTCGTTCTGGCTGACACGGTCACACTGGTTTCGGCGGAGTGCTTATCAGCTCGTTTTTTGTTTACATCGAGAGTGAACAATCTGTTTTCATATAATCTGTGGTATAACTATAGATTATAACCTGGCAAAAAACAAAAAACACTAATGGCGGGGTAACCGTGTGTTCCAGTTTAACTTTTTACCACCAGAGTGCGCCGTAGGTTATAAAAAATCAAAACGGACAACAGCGAGCAGCGTTAGATTAAAATAACATGTAAACACAAGTGCTCCATAGTGTTGCTTAATTTTTTTTTTTTAATTGTTTCAATAAATATACAATATGACAACTCAATACGTTAATCGTGTTCGTATAATATAACACATCTAAACTGCTGCCATCCGTCACCAATGAGTTACATAAATCGACTTTTCTACTTTACAATTATTGTTCTCAACTCGTAAGCCGAGATCGTTGGCCTATACATTTTAAATAATATGTTACCGAACTTCAGTCCGATAGTACAAACCCTCCTAGGGACATTATTCACATGGGGACTTACTGCTATAGGCTCCAGCCTCATACTAGTCTTCAGCGGAACACAAGTAAGGACGCAACATACAATATTGTATTCTACAATCCAAGTGAATTAATAATTGTTTTTGAATTTTCAGAGAAAGCTGCTCGACGGCAGCTTAGGGTTTTCAAGTGGTGTCATGATCGCCGCGTCGTATTGGTCGTTGTTGGCACCCGCAATTGAACTCGCCGGCCAGAATAGTACTTACGGAGACAATGGAGAGTTTGCATTTGTTCCGGCTTTGGTCGGTTTCCTCTTTGGTGCTTTATTCGTGTTCCTCTCGGATGTTCTCATATCTTCGTACGAAATGGACGTGCTCAACATGCTTATTCCTGGTAACTTTGTGCCAATAATAAGTAACAATGTTAATACGTCATAATATATTATTGTTTATGTATAAGCCGTTATAATTTAGTTAACACCTCGAACATATCGATATCGAAAAGCAAAGGTGCCCATATCTGATAAATGGACAATTTAAACCCATATCTTCTAACACACAATATTTCTAAGTATTGGACACGACAAACAAATTATGTAATAATCTTATAATTTTGTACACGTTCAATTATGGTATAATCAAAATATTTCATTATTGTGTTAAAAGCATGAGTTCTTAGCAAATCAAAAGTTTACTCTGTTAACTAAAAAGGTTTCAGTAAATTTGTTTTCTAGAATGGGACAATAATTTCTTATTTAACAAGTATATTTCATTCGTTCCAAGACAATACTCTGTAAAAAAAAAAAAAAATGTTTGAACTTAAGTTCACTAATTAATGATTGTTTGGTTCTGGGAAACAAATTTAATTTTAGAAAACTTTTTTTAGTTTGAAAGTAAAATGGGATATCTATATGAAATATTATTCATTTAAAATGTTATATTATTTAACTAGTTGTTTATTTGTACACATTTAGTTGAGTATGTCGTGTCTTTTATTTTTTTTTTAATCTTAGGTACCTCATTAAATTTTGTTAAAATATATTCGGTTTATAGTGTAAATTCTTATATTCAAGCTAACTGCAAGTTTGCAAGTGTTATAGCTGTGAGAAAAAAACCTAAATAATATTTAATTAAATCGAGCACTTTTTAATTGTACCATTTTTTTATAATATGACAATTAAGGTGTAGTTGTATTTTTTAGTTATTTAAATTAATCATTCGAGTTGTAATCACACAACCCGCTGAACTGAAACCACTCATGATTGAGATATTATTTACTTAAAAATATCCTGTAATTAACAATTTGATCAAATTATTTTTATTCAGAAGCCACGCCATGCATGGAGAAAAAGTTAAAATGTGAATATGACTCAAACGATTTTACAAACTGTAGTACTACGTATAAGTCTTCAATTATAATTGAAGGTAAGGACAATCCTTCATAGTTTTTTTAGTTAAAATGTATAATATGTTAACTTTTTTCTTACAATAATAGTAATACACTTTCTACTGAATGTGTAATTTTTTTTGACGACAAAAAATATTTATCATTACCAATACCAGTACTTAAATAATAATGTTAATCGGATGAGTATGTTGTGAAATTATCGTTATTCACCCTGCTAATATAAGAATGTGTAAATGATTTAATTTCTAAACTGCTAGATCCGACGTTTAAATGCTTGAGAAATCTTTAGCAGGTTTAGTAGATTTGTAATTGTCCTACTTATTGTTTATTTTATTGAATAAAACAAATAATAGCCAAAAAAAATGTTATTAAAAAACTTGAAACTCTATATATGTTTTCAAATTTTTCATTTGTATGTTTTTAAAACCTTTTTACATTTTTTTTTTGCAAAAGAAATTTAAAAAAAATGATTGCCAAGTCAAATAGTTGCATTCTCAATAGTGTTGGAGTGAAGAAAAGTGGACTTTTTTAAATATATTATATGTATATACTAGTTATGTAGCTGTAAAATGTGTATGATTGAAATTAACTTTTCAGCGGTTTTTAATGGGCATAAATACTATTATAATAATCGTCTCTGAATTGGATTGAATTTTTGTCTCGCACAGGAGAAGCTCGACAGCGTATTTGCAAAACAGACGAAACGTCACCAGATTACACGCAAATGGAATGCGACGACAACACTGTGAAGATGTGCAGCTGGAAACGAATACTGCTATTAGTGATAGCCATCACGGTGCACAATATCCCCGAAGGCCTAGCGGTCGGTATAGCATTTGGAGCCGTGAATTCTTCGCCGTCATCTACGTTTAACAGCGCCAGGTAAACTATGCTGATTATTACTAATCGATTTTAACGTTATCGGTCGAACGCAAACAATACCACTATTATTAGGGCACTCGTGGAAACAGATAAAAAAAATGTCTGTTACAACAGATATTTCCCTCGACAAGGTTTCACAAAATATAGCCAGCAGTATATCATATTAGTTTTCAGTCGCTACACTTGGTGCAATTGAAAATTTGAATTTGGCGCCTTTATTCAAAATAACTTTATCGTTGTATATGAAAACTCCAGTAGATGGCGTTATATATTATAATGTTGGTGGTATTATTTTATTAGAAATAAATAGGTACATTATATTTGGAAAAACAATAATTCTGATGTTGGAAAATATTGTCTTTAAATCGCGTTTTGAGTGATACTTAGAACAGTTTCAAAGAAAAAGAAAAATAGCCACTACAGTGGGGTGAGGCTGGGAGGGTACCAAGTCTACAGGAACTATATATAAAATCACTTTCAAATAAACGGTTCAGCGGTTTAAACGACATCATTGTAAAAATAATACCTTCTCAAATTTAATCTTTAATTGTAGAATTAAGATCACCGGATATAGCAACCGAAATGTTGAATTTTTAGCTTAAGGTTTGATACACATATTAGCCGTTATGCCTTTGATATACCTAGTAATTTGTAATGAATTATAAGTTAATCAATACAAAGTTACATAGTTATGCAGTTAAAAAAAATCTAAACTGGGTTTACTATAATAATTAACTATATCATGTAGGTACGTGTAACACGCATTTTTTATATGTGCTTTTTTCGCGCTATTAATAGAAATACAATTCACAAAGAACATTAGTTTTCGAATTTTCTTTATAACAAAATTATGTTTGTAATATTCTGTGTGTTATACTTATAAATGTATCACAATAAATAGGACATACCACGGGAAATTAAACCTGATCAAAAATAATTTTTGAAAGAAATGTTTTTATTTTTCTAACAATTTTCATTAAATACAAAATAAATAGTCCGAATGGTTGTTTGTACAACGATTACAGTGACAATATAACTAATTGTGAGATTATAAAAAGTACAGGAAAAATATCGCCATGAAGAAAATGTTCATCAAAATTCGTCTGCACTTCCACTATTATAGGTATAATACCGCTTTTGCATGTAATGCCGGGTCCACACAGAGCGAACAATATTAAAACAAAAAAAAAAACACGATGTTTTTTGACAATTTCCAAACAGTTTTATTTATTTCAACAAAATGTTCTGTTTTTTAAGAACAAACCCGTGTCCCGTTCGTGGTGGGAAATTGTATAGATGTTTTTGTTTTCATGAACACTATAGCTCGGTGTGGACATAAAATTGTGTTTAAATATTAATTGTTAAATGTAATTAAATAAAAATGTGTTAAAAAATAAAAACAAGTTATATTAATAACTTGTTTATATTATACCAATGTCATCATCCTGTAAATCTTTTAAAAGTTCATTGATTCATATACATTTCTTTTTTGTAACGTTGGTCTTACCCAAAAACGTCTTTTATTTTAATTTTATTTATCTTGAACATTTAAATAAGTATATCCAGCACCGAACATTAGTATACTTTCCTCATCTTCGATATCTCTTTTCAGTTTCCACATTAATATTTTAATTATTTAAAAAATTTAATTATTAAAATACAAACGAACGAACCAAGATCCGAAAAGATCGCACTTCGAAAGCAGACTTAACGACTGTGAATGGATAACTAGTATAAAAGTATAAAAAGCACATTTTTAAAACGATCTTTTCAGAATGGATAGATGAAAAAAACCCAAATTAAATTTTTGTTCACGATTTGTTGAGGTTTTTTGTCAATTCAGTCTAAACAAATGTTTTTTTACACTTTTGTTTTTTATAAACAGAAAAAAGTTGAGTTTTTGTTTTGTTTTTTTAAAACCTCTGTGTGGACCCGGCTTAAGAGGACGCTACCCACCCGTAATTTATCCGCAAAAAATGGCTTTGTGGGGGACAAGAATGTGAAGGCGGTATTTACAGTAGCCGTATACAATTTTTACAATGGATAGAGAAGAACTTTATTTACGGGGTAGCGATTTTAGCTTTTTGATAACTTAATCACAATTAAAATTTTTTCTTCGTGAAGATTCTATTTTTTTTTTCAATTTTCATTTGCTTATAAAAATATATTAAGTATAGATATCAAACAAATAAAATCGCTAACCCGTAGATAAAGTTCTTCTCTATACATTGTGAAAATTTGGTAAAGCTACTGTTAATACTGCCCTCACATTCTTGTCCCGCGCAAAGCAGTTTTGATGGGGAAAAAATTGTAATTTATCCTATAGAAGTGACTGTGATAGTCTGACGAAAAAAATGGCAATCAATAAAGTATCCTCATTACTGTATTAATAAGTATATAATATAGTGCAAACTCTAATTTAAGATTTTTCGAAAACTTGCCTATACTTTACTCCTTAGAAATGGCCTGGGTAGCGTCCTCTTAAGATACAAAATAAATAATCGTGACTTTATCAAATACTCGGCTTAGGCGAGCCTGGATTAAAAACATATTCAAGGCAATATGTCTGTCAAGTGTTGATCTTTGATTTTGAAACGCTAAAGCTGTTTAGCCGTTATCAGAAAGCACATTTTCCGAGACAAGTTTATGAATAAACAGTAAATTTAAAAAACTGCGTTGTAAGAGGAGTCAGACATAACATTTTAAAACATCAATGCGGATTTAGTTTTGCTTGTATTTATTAAGTTAGCCAATAACTGTATGTTTTCCATGCAAAATTTGCCACAACGACCACGGTCGGCCCTCGCGGCGTAACATAATAATTATATTTTGGCTGTAACGTTTTTTTTTTTCCCTCCCAAAAGATTTATGGCGGCGAAGAGACGCGCGGGTGGTCCGTTCTCGGAAAAAGGGATGATGCTCTTCTCCGAATCACCCCTCCGACGCGGGTAAGTGTTGTCCAATATAAAACAAGCATTCCGATCACCGCCGCGCGTTCTGGTCCCAAAGCTAGCTGTTCTCAGGATGGCCACTAAACGTTCTTTTTGTGATTTTGCTATTTTTTTAAGTTCCCAATAGCTTTTTTTTATTTTAGTAAGAATTGGCAATTTTTCAATCGTATAATTATCGGTCGTCAACAATATTGTGTGATTCGAATCGCACGCAAAATATTAAACATCATAATATCACATGTCGAGTGTCGTCGATTAATAAAAAAAAAAGACTGCGACGGATTTCGCATAACATTTACCATTCGGCAACTTGTTTTTTTTTTTTTTTACGACCGTTTCGCAATATCTTGGTGTTCGTTTTTTTTTTTTATATCAATTAAAACCGCAGCGGAAATAATCGCAGGGGCCGTCCGAGGGTTCTCAAAATCCAATCGTTTATAGAGCCGCGTGTGTGAGGAGGAGGATGCCGCCGGAACGGGATGAATATATGGGAATATTATTTCTTCTTATGTTTCGATTTATCCTCCAGAAATAACTACCGTGTAATAGGCCTGTAGGCGGTGATTGTCTCCGGAGTGGAGTATTTATGTATGTCAATAATGACAAATAATCAAAGCTTTTTTTAGCAACTTTAAAAGTAAGTTGGATCGATACTAAATCAGACTACATCTTCGCGTTTTGAGTATCAATAATGCAACGGCGGAGAAACAAAAATGTTAATAACCGTTGTTTTGGATCAAATCTCAAAAGTGTATAGTATTTTTAGTAATACTCTTTCACAGAGCTCCAACATATTCTTCGGATAATGTACACCTTATTAAAAATATACAAAAAGTAAAAAGTTTGTCGTTGAAATATTTAGAAACTCCTTTTCAACAAATCGGTACAGCCCTTTAGAAATATTATGTTCTAAAATAATAAATAATTCATGTTTTTTGCTCTAAAGCCATCTTTGACCATGAAAACCGGGTTTCGCGTAGCTACGTTTAGGTTAGACACACACACACACACACACACACACATATTTATATATATATATATATATATATATGGATAATATATATATTAACATCATGGCCTATATTGAAAAATTGCCCATATCGAACCCCTCGAAAACTCGTTCATATTCATCTGAAAATACTTACCGAAAAACTAACAATAGAAGTTCAACGAGACGAAAAATAAAACTACAACAAATAAATGATTATAAAATAGTTTTTTTTTTAAAAAGTCACACCGAGTGGTCCGAACCCGTTGAAAACTAAAGCCTTATTTCTCTTTGGTGTTTACTGCGCGTGCAATACATTATAGGAGACGCACTACACGTGTATATAATATTATTATCATTATATTTACAAATCCAAAAAGCATTATTATTTTTCTTTCATTATGCCCGCGTGTGATTGTCCGAAACGTTAAAAAGGCAAAACAGGTTTATTGGCGTTTTGTCAGAGCGCCAGCAGCAGGTGCACAGTGCACCTATCCGCCACGCACGGCCCGCCTTTCCTCTCCTCCGTCCGCTTAAACGAACCCTCCCTCCCACCCTATACACGACGACAGCAGCCCGTTCTCCTACCGCCGGGATCCATTATGTACATACATTTATAATGTATAAATTTGTATATACATAATATATATATATGTATACAATACGTATATATATATAAATAATATTATATTATTTAGAAATGAGTGACTCTGTGTATGCGCGCGCGCGCCTATGTATGAATGTGTTTGTGTGTGTGTGTACTTAGCTATGCCTGGAATGCCGGTTCATACCTCATTTCATCACGTTTTTGACCACCATTTTCTTCCTTTTATTAACTAACCGCCGCGCGCCGTTACCTTTTGTCTGTTCTGCTTTCTCCAAAATGGTATACAGCGGTGTAACGTGTAGAGGTATATATGTGTAGGTACACATACATGCGCATAGACATTCGTATATAAATGAATAATTAATATGGATGATACGCCGCGTGTGATGTTGCAACGTCGTTGAACGTTACAAAGTCAAAACTGTTTTACGGGTTATTATTATTTTTTTTTTTT